ATCCTTTGTGTATATCAGTTAGTTGAACAAAGATGTTAATGGCAGAGCACGGAATCCTTTTCTGCTAGAGGTCACGGGATTGCTACAGGAATTGTTCAGTTAAAATTGGACAGTCATTTAATCCGAAGGATTGTTGCGTTTAAGTAGGGTGAATCTAAATGTTATTCGATAGCCTTTTTTTGACTCATTATTAACATTTAACACTTTGTATCTATTGATGCCACTCTAACCAGAGAAATCTGGGCCTGTGAAATGAAATCAGGTTTCCTTTCCTCCCACACTTTTTAATGATATCGATTGTAGGTCATTTTCACTGAACTTGTTTCATATCGTTGATTAATGCAACTGAAGATGACTTGTTCATATCAAATCATCTTGGTATCAATCAGTCTATCAGTAAGAGGGATAGACCTCTACCCAATATTTCACGGACTAGTTTTTGATGGAGTTGTATCCTGATGTATAACTTTGGGAAATGAAGCGTTTGAAATTTCCATTTGAAGTTCAGCTTACGGCAAAGTGATTCTAGGACTCGGCGGTTTCCTAGACGAAACTGGGTCGTAGGATGGCAGACCTCTGCTCTCAAAGGTCGGTGTTGTGTGTGGTGACGGTGTGAGAACGTCCTTTCACTGATTCGCCGAGCCTTCAGAAGAAACATTTTCGTACCAGTAACATGCGAGTTAAATGTAGTGTAAACGTGTTAGGTCTCTTAGAATTCTTTGTCAATAAAATAATTTGTTCTAACGAATTGTCCTTGATGACCAGACGTGATGTTGTTAGCACGCATTTTGGCTCTCGGTGCTAAGGTTTCGAGAGACTTTATCTTCTTCAAAGTAATTTTCTCGGTTGTTTAGGGATTCCGAAGTTAGTTAAGAGTCGATCTTTGCGATCCTTCGTAAATATGCGTTGTTCAAGTTCTCAAGTATAGAAGATACTGCTGCCATGGTTGTACTTTTTTGCTTAGATTTTAGGTCCATTAAGTCAACGGTTTTGTTCAAAATACTGTATGACACTGAACCAGCTCATTTTCCATGTGTGAAATAAGAACTGAAGAAATAGCATTTCTACCGTTTAAATTCTTAGCATTTACAACGGAAAGAAAAATTTGAAGGACAGATCCTTGTAGAGCATTCGTCGCTGTTAAATTTGTTTAGTTTATTCAATTTTGGCTAGTAGCACTCCAGTTTTCGTAGCTGCAATGTCAAGTAATGTTCATCAAGCTTCCTTTCGATAGTTTTCTTCGTTCTTATGAGGTTGTTGGTTACTGAACAGCTGGATGATCTTCGTGATCGACTGCCTTTCAGCTTCTTTTTTTTTGTCTCGTGGTCACTGTGCAGTCAGTTGTACGTGTGCAGTCAACCGGTCTAGATTCTAGTTGATCGAACAAACGATACAGTGTTACTAATAGGAGTTCACCAATCTGTGATGGATGTGTCAAGAGCTGGACTCTATTAGTGGCTTCATAAGGGTAATTTAATGCACATCTGTTCCATCCATGTTCCATGTGTCTTGTGGTTACTTACCGATATATAAAGTCAGTGCTCCTATCCTCCCAGACGAGTCTGGTTTCAATTTCTGACCTTAGAGGGATAGAGGGCTTCGTTAGCCCGATGTGAGTAAATGAACTAACGGCTACGTGTATACTGAAGGCTGCTGCTAACCACTGCGCTAACTTGTGTTCCGCTGCATTCTAGAGGTCAGCGTTTGATTCGTAGACATAGCAAGGACGTTCGGAAATGAAGGCAACAATGTTAGTGCAGGTGTACTGTCTGCAAGTCTCTTGAAAAATAGACAATTGTGTCGTCCTTGTCAATATTGACATTACAACAGTTCCAGTAGCAAGTGATATGATGATTACAATTTGTCCATACAAAAGGTGATGTTGCTTCTTAAATGGTTTTTCAAAGATAAGAAGGTACTTCTGCCTTCGTTGTCTTACCATAGAAAAGAGTAAACCTGCCATTAAAAAGTAATCCTTTGCCCTGCCATTAAGAAGAATAGACAGTAAATAAAAAGTGACAAGTGTCTCGTTCTTCCTAAAAAGGGCTAAAATTTGTCTACCACAAATTTTGTGTCAAAGTGTCAGTGACATTCTGAAGGTTTCTTTTACCCATAGAAGACCTGTTCGTAAAGTTATTGGTCGAATCTGTAACATTCACGTTTCGGTAAAATCGTGATTACTTAGATACTTGGACGGTCCGTCTTCACGAGTTGTGCGGACCCCAGCACATTTGCCATTCGTTTCTTTCCCTCGCAATCCTCGTCCATGCTAGTGGTTTTATTCGAACGTGGTAGCGTGTGCGAGTCTCATATTGTGATTATCTTTCATCATTTGCTGAATAAGCCTCTGTTTGAATGGCATTTGTAACTTTGTAATCCTTCGGAATTATTCAGTCTTGTTGAATCTGATAAGAGTGTTTAGATATTTTATAAATGATCTTTGATGTTTCGAATTCATCTTCTACATCTCTCATCGAATTCTACTAGTGGTGAAGTCGATGCGTAGATGAGAACCTTTTCGGTGAAAGTTTAGCACATCAGACGAAGTGTGTGGAAGAAGCCTCGTGTAATGACAACGCTTCTAGAGGGAGACAATCTGCCCACTGCAGTTGTTTTTCATTGGCGGAGTAGTTTCTTCTATATGACGTTTTTCTTTTGTAAGATGACAATTCTTAGTTGTAGAAGGTTCTATCAAGTGACTTCGAAATAGATGACATAGGAGCCGTTGCGAGGTCCCATGCGACTAAATAATAAGCCTCACTTGTTCATCATTTGAGCCTGACCAACTAGTAGTAACTACTTTGCTATCTTTTTAGATTATTAAGCTGACACGAGATCAATGAAAAGATTTATTCGGTTGACCTATTATTAATGCCGAGTTCGAATGTCGGTCGGTTTGAAAAATACTCTCTTATCATTTAAAAGAAAAGTATGAGCAGAGATCTAGTAGGTGCTCCACTGAAGAGGATTCGACTCGATACGACGATGACGAACACACCACATTAGGAAGACGAACGACTATGAACATCGACTCGGATCGTCGGCTCTGAGGAGGGCGAAGGCGTTGAAACGTTAGCCGAATAAGGTTGTATAACAACCTCATGTAGGATGAACAATCTAAAGAAATTAAGTATTAAGACTTCGTTACGGGAGGGATGATGTTAATCGGGTCCCGCGTGCGAGTTGAACCTACAAGAGAGTTGTGACGCGAAGTTTAATGTGGTTAAAGGCGATTTCTCAAGGTGAATTTCGAGTATTTTGAGCAGAAACCGCTCAAAATCAGTGGTTCGCTTCGAGGGCATATTTCTATAAATAGTATAATATTCTTCATAGCTTCATAAGTATTCTCAACAGTGATAGTGGCATCATCGAGTAGCTGTCGGCGGTGTCGCTCACTCTGCGGGTTGAGGTCGATACATGAGCTGGCCTAACGTAATTTGCATATTGTTCACAAGGAAATTTCCTTTCGTCGGGCATAATTCAATTCCTGACCGTCTGATACTTCAGGAATTCACTTTCCCTGTGTGTTTTTATAGGTTATCTCCTCTTGAATAAATGCGAATATGCAGTTTTCAGTTTCGTTTGCTGGCTTTGTGAATTCTTTTCCATCTGCGTCTGTTGCTTACTTTGATTTTGATATAGTATAGCAATCCTCTATTATGTGGGTTAAGGCCGTAGGCCTAAGGAACCGAATGCTAGTGTTTTTTCATTGGCGTGCTGAAAATCATCGAACTCATTCGACCCAATGTTTAAATGCAAGTTAAAAATTCTGTAGTTTCGTTAGGGATAGTTAGCGATATCATCCTCTGTATTCTTCAGAAATCATCGAAAGCTAGAAAAAATCGGTGTTTTGAACGGAGTTTTCGGATTAGTTGTTAAAATTAGTGAGGTGTTGTTACTTCCTGCCTGTGGATGTTCGCCGTACTTCTAAAGCTTCCCTAAGTTTTCCTTGTTGATTTCGGTTGTTTATTTTTTAACTAGGTTCCTTAAATGGTTTTTTCTGTGTTGTTTGTTCAGTTCGCTACACATAAATGAAGGTCAATGGCGGTTGTTCCTTTCTTTGCAGATGTGCCGTCCCGCTCCACCTAGTTAACCTTGCAAATTACTGAACTGAACATCGATGTCATTAGTTGCTATCGGTTGTCATCGTTCTATTAATGATTCATTTCGTCCAGATATGCAAGTTACTTGTTCACACGCTTGCAAGCATTTATCTGTGGTTCCATACTAGTAATAATCAAGTTATAACTTCTTTCTTGCCGTAAAAACCTACTGTTCCTTGTTGATTTCTTTTTTGCTCCTATGAGCTTTATAGAATCACATATTATTCTGCCTTACTGATTCCATTAATTTAGTTATTCATAAGGGTAGTTTGAAAGCTAACCACTCCTAGTCTTTTCGTTTTTGACTTCACTTTAGGACTCATTCTAGTAAGTGTGGCACTACGGCCATTTCCCTGGAGACCATTGTCTTATCTTGAGAGCCTAGTGGCATTCTGCTCTTTACCCTTGAGCTAACGCTCGCTGGCTATCTATAGTGACGTTTCTTCTCAAGAATCTTGCAACTTTTTGCTATTTAACTTTGTTTAAATGATTTAGGGTAGTATGTTCTTTTATATACATTAGTATAAGAAGTGTCATCATCTTCGTTAATCTCTTCCACTTTCCCCTAATTCTTAGTGAATAAGAGTTGTTATGAAGGTGATTGAAGAAAACTTATAAGACAGTGAACTGTAACCGACGGTTGAGGTGCAAGAGCAGATTTGATTGTAAGATAAGGCTTTGGTGGTGAAGCAAAACAAGGTCGCTAGGATACTCGATTTCGTCGCCAACATTTTCTGCTATTCTGTTGTTTCTTTGGGTCCTTTATAGGCACAAAGAGTGGTCTCAAATACAATACAATTCTATGAATAGCTTATTCCAGATTTAATGATTGTATAAACGGAGCATTTGTCACTAGATGTAGAAGACGAAGCGCCAGACAAGGAATGCCACGTTGACATGAATTGGCACCGCCATCCATTTCTATTGTCGTTACTAGTAACACTAGCTACTGTACTCTGCCGGCAAAACCCTAAACCGCCAATACCATTCGAATTCACTGCCAAGTTGTATAATATCTCACTAGAGGAGAATGCTCCGGGAACGGAATTTGCCCGTTCCTCTGACCACGTACGGATCGGAGTACCGCTACCACATGGTGATGCTACGGTCAAGTTTAAAATCGTCGAGGTATCGATCGTTTGGAAACTTTCGATATTTATTTATTTGTTTTGCTATTTGATAAAATTGGATCACTTACTTGTAGGGAGATCGACAACATCACTTCAAAGCGCACTCCAGACAAGTAGGAGACTTTGTGTTTTTGCGAATTAGACAAAAAGATCGAATGGACACACCACTGAACAGAGAACTTAAGGTGATATTTTGCTGTTTTCTTATATTTTATATATTCGAGGAACTTCATTGTCCTTTAATCAATACGCATTTCATCAACTATAATTGCTTGACGTTTTCCTTATTTTTCACATTAACTCTCATCGTTTCGAGGTTACACCTTTTATTTCTGCATAAATGAATACTACCCATGACTACAATTCTTAAACCAGTTTCTGTTTGGTATTTAAAACCAACAGTAAGGAAACAGTTTTATGTATATGGGACTAAAGTAGGGCGCGTGTAGCGCTGTATTTAAAGATGCCGTGCAATGCGCTCGTGATCTTTGGTTCAACATCAGATTTAGAGCTAAGCAAGCGCCCATCCTTCCTGGGTCGCCGAACTGGTACCATAGTTGTATGGATGGATAAAAACTAATTTTGTACAACAGTATGCCCTGTTAAGGCACTAGATAGTCAATGTATTCAGTTATCTTTACGATGAGAGGTGACATCGAATGCATGGCCTATCCATTAGGCCCTATCCTATGCTAACAAATATGCTGATTTCCCTTATCATAGATATTTCGATATCATATAGCAATACTCCTGTCTGAGAGATAGGTAAAGCCCTTGGACCTCAGTGGTTTCATGCGTGACACGTTAGTCGCGGAATGAGTAATGTCGGTTATACTTGGACTAGGGTCTAAGTTTTGCAAATATCTCAGCATTTCATACGAGTTATAATTCGAAACATAACCTGCCATTAAGAAGGAAAAAGGCAGTAAATAAAAGAGTTAAAAAGTCAATATTGTAATTCCTGACTTTGTTTTTTCTTTGCATGCAGTGAACTGGTATTTGAGTATAGAAAGTACGCAGTTTGTAACTTTATTACAATATTTCTCGAGTTGTCTTGGAGAGCTATTTTTAGGGTCACTATGATTTCTTGGTGAAAGCTACCTGTCGACAAAAAGATGCCGGTAATTTGGAGGCTACATCCAGAGTTCGATTGACGATAACGGATCGAAATGACGCTATGCCGATTTTCACATTAGAAGCTGACAAATACGAAGCAACAATTAGTGATCAAGTATGATCATTTCATCTACTGACCTGGATCATTTCTTTTTTCTCTTCTGTAAACTGTTGGTGTTTCTAGACAGCTCCGTTTACTGACGTTATCCGTGTCGAAGCTTCGGATGCTGATGAGGGTATCAATGGTCAGATATATTACTCTCTAGTCAATCGATCGGCTGAATTCACCGTTGATCCTGTAACTGGTAATTCCTGAAGTGTTTACTGATTGTCGTTTTCAATTTAAACCAATGCGATGTTATTTTCAGGTTGGATTCGTACCTTGAGACATTTGCGTAGTGGTGTGTATAATATGAAAGTTCGATCAGAAGATCGAACATCCAGGTTGTTCTACAATGACCCAGACCAGATACAGCCAGCATGGATGAAAGACGTTGTTGTGAGTTCGCTGTTCATGGTTAGGGCGGGTGTAGCGCAGTGGCTTGATGCTCCTTACAATACACATGGAGTCGACCTCACGCCCTTGGCTCACCAAGTCTTCTATCCCTCCAGCGTCGGCATATTGGTACCAGACTTGTTTGGGAGGATGGCAGCACCGGCTCGATACATCGGTAGGCCACCGCGAGTCATTGTAAAGGCCAGATATGCATCCAATTACCTCCAAACGGTGCTTAATGAAGTCGAATGCATGGCGCATCCCTCAAGGATTGATCAACGCCGAGAGTTTTTATCCTTTTTATTCATCGTTTGTTGCTTTTTGCCGATAGAAGTAACACTCTTTGTAGTAGAGTTTTGTCTAGTTGACATCTTTCTTTAGTATATCTTACATAAGTGCATATACTTAGATAACTGTGACGGAATCGAAACGTCGGCATCTCAAGTTGCTTGTGGCTAACAAAGAGATTAATGGATATCGCTCGGACGTGCAACAGTTAGCAGCCGTGGTTAGAGTGGAAGTCCCACCAAATGAGGCAGCACTAGCTGGTCCTATCCATGTCGACGTTGTAGAAGACGATCTGAAACATTGGTTTTCTCTTGTGGAAAGCGGAAAGCTCGAATGGCAACTGTACACAGTAAGCTTTGCTTAGCTCTTGGTTCATGTTCATTTACATCATACCTACGAGAGTATAATTAAGCGAACAGTTAATCTGCATCTTGTATTTATTTCTTAGTGTACGTCATTTACTTTTCATACATAAGGTAGTAATTTTAATATGTTTCTCCAAATCATCCTCTAATCGATTAACAGGTGCCTGGGAAATTGGTTCCACCGAAAACAAACGTCACCTTGTCGGCCGGTCAAGAGCTCGCCTCAAGTGGTATGGTCAATACGACGGCGAACATCAAGGTGTTTAAGAGTTATTTGTACTTGAATGGTGTTTAGCTTCGTTTTTCAATGACTGAAAATTTCAGATTGAAGTTGGCGAGCCACATTCAATTGCATTTTACGACTCTGCCGTTTCATTCTATGTAAACGAATCTGCACCATTTGGTTACATCATCGGAAGAGTTTCTGCAAACGCTCTATACAAACAAGATGAGCGAAACATTAGGTAGATAGAGAAATATTGATATTATCCTTTGGTTTAAAGATTAAAAGAAGTTATTTTTCTCCGAGTTTCACTCAGGGAACATGGGTTTTTTTTAAAAATTCTAGATATTACCTGGAGTCGCGGGAGAATACGACTGTTCCTTTTCAAGTATCGGTGGAATTCGGCATTATACGTGTGGCTAAAGAACTAGATTTTGAAACGCAACGGGAGTATAGCTTTAATATTTTGGCAAAGGTTTGATATTTTTATTGCTTAACATGTTTTGTTCCTTGTGCTTTATTAAAAATAACAGCTGCATTGCAGCTTGCTGGTTTTGGTGGGCAGAGTTCTATTGTGGTTATGGTCTTCGTAAAAGATTCCAACGATCATTCTCCCATGTGGTCCGCTAAATCGAAACGCCAAGGTCCAGTTGCTGTTTCTAGTGATCTTGCCGTTGGTACGACTATTTTGAAGGTATTGTTCCTATTTTTTCATTTCCTCTTAGGTAAGTCGACGTTGCCATAACATTTTCTAGGTGGACGCATTGGACTTGGATTCTGGTGAGAATGCTCGCATCGGTTACAAGTTATCGTCAAGCTTGCAAGTCCCATTCGCCATTAAGTTTGAGACTGGGGAGGTATTCTACTATCTCTGAGATATTTGAAACTTCGTGTTTTCCTTATTTGCTTGGCATTTTTCTTTAGATTTATTTATCGACTCCTTTGAGAAATGGAGAGAATGATTGGAATGTGGCGGTATGGGCTGTAGATGCCGGGGGACCTCTGCCACGATACGCTGTTCTTAATTTAATTTTTTATCGAAACGGAACAAAGGTGGGAATGAAGAGCTGGATTTTTGAAAGATATACTTGTCTAACCAATGCGTAATTTTTGTTTGGATATCACTTCCTTCTTCGGTTCTGTTTGATTTTTCAAACAAAACTAATTCTCCTTCAATTTTCTATTTGTTTATTTTCGCTATAGAAAACTTTATTTGATAATTTGAAGACCTGCTGCACATTATTAATTTTGTAGGTACCATCCAAACCAAAGTCATCAGTTGGCTCTGAACCCGTTAATAAGCATGCTCCTTTGTTAGAAGAGTTTCGTGCACCTGTTGATATCCGGGAAGATTCCGCTATTGGGACGGTAGGTTAAATGTTGTGATATAAATCGAATTATTAGTGTTTTTAATAATGATCAAGGTACTTTGAACCCAGATCTTATTTAAGTTGACTTAAGGTCAGGTCATGTTAGGGTTTTATTTAAAAATTCAGGACTTCTTAGAAATGTTACGAAGAATTTCATAGTGCACAAGTTCCTCTTTTCAAGTAATTCTATCAAAATGCTAGTCTTCTCTATCGGTATAGTCGGCTCCGTTGGATAAGACTTATCGTGTTGGTGCCAAACACGCGGAGTCGCTCTATCCGACCTCACCACCCGGCATACTGTATCGTTGAGTAGGGTCGCCAGATGGTAAGTGCCATAGTAACAAGCGCTGCAGATCGTGTTTTATTGCGCCTATACACAAAGAATATCACCAGGTCAAGTATTCATTCGAGAATTATTCTGAATGTGATTTCTGAATAGGGATTCCATCTGAGAACTATTTAGCCTATGAACGGTAAGATACACTAAGCAGATGGAGTGTACCTAGTAAGTGGTAAAGAACCATCGTTTAATTCTGAGCATTTCAGCGTATGAACGTGCTTTGTATTCTAGGCAGTCATCGCCGCATCTGCTACCGATACTGACGTCGGATACGGTGGTTTAGTCAGGTTCTCGTTGTGGGATGACCACTTCTCAATTGATGCCGACAATGGAGTGGTCAGAGTCGCCGGCGATCTCACCGAACTGATGACACCTGGGATTTCGGAGCTTCGTCGTGACATCGAGATAGTTGCTTCTGATGAAGGATCACCGAGGAAGAGCTCCAATACTACCCTACAGATTGTCATCGTGGACGTCAATAATCATGCACCGCAGTTCCAAGAAGTGAGTGAGAGGTTCTGTTATACATGCTCGTTCTCACTCATACAAATACAAATGCGAAAGAAACACTTTGGATCATTAAAAGGCTTGGATTTATTCAGCCAGGTACTCAGTTCAGTAGAGGCTTTTTTAATCTGGGCGAAGTCTTTTTCTTTATCCTATTTGCCGATATTCTATTAGTACTAACCATCCGCTGCGCTTTTTCTGCATAATTAGCTAATGGATTGGCTGAATGGGATGTATTGGCGTAAGAGGTCAATTGTCTCAGGTATCATAGACTCTTCCTTAATAACTCGAGAATTTCACTTAGGTGTGTATAAATTAAAACATTCCAAACAAATCTATTTTAAATTATTGAGCTTAATTTGAGGTTGAGCTAAAAAGAGCTGAAGAGCTAAATTACTTGAGCTAAATTACCTGGGCTAAAAAATTCTAAATAAAGTTGGCTTTTCGACAGCAGTTGATAATGTCTCAATTACCAGAGTAATAGATAGATTGAGAATTTTACAGACTTTTAGAAGAGACTTTACTACATCGCATTATGGGTATAGACAAGTTTAGACAGTGTTCTTCGTACTTAAGTTTTCTTTAAAGGCAGATTTTTTGGAAAATTAAAAACGGAGTTTAAACGTCTATACTTTTCCACACGTCTGACAACCGCAAAGGCAAACGATGCATTGGTGAACACTATTGGATGCTGCTGAACGAAATTCAGTTTAATTCAATCGCTCTTATGTTGTAGATACGAGGGCCAGTAACAAAAACCGAAAAAGTACGTTTTTTTGGGTTCGAGAAAGGTGTATGTTCTTTGTAGAATAAGAAGAGAACTTCCTTCTTATAGGCGACGATATACGATATACGGTGTTTAATGGCTTTTATTCCATTTAATGAAATTTGTTATGCACTGAGGGACGTTGATTTAAAGTTGAAAGCGTCCGGTGTTTTCATGACGATACGCATTGAAATCGATACGCATGCATAGTCGGAAATGTGTTTATGAGAAGGAGACTCTTCTCCGTCTTTCTAACAAAGTCCAATCTCCGTTTTTTCGAGCTCCGTATAAGTTTATCGAATTTGAAAGATGCCTTTTGAACCGATGAGTTCGTTAAAAGCAGCTGTGAAATTCGTTCTGAAATTTTTAGACCTATTTATAATCGTCGACTATTTTCTAGTGGTCTTATGAAAGCTTCGAGGAATAGACGGAAGAAGAGAATATGGTACATTTTGAAAACTTGGACTATATTGGTACCAAAAATAAGAAATATGGTTATCTTAGAATTTCGATGCTTTAGAGATGGAAGTTTTTGCAATGTTGATAGACAGTATGGTAGTGTTGTGGAATTCTTACTGAGTATAATAAAATTGTAAACCTTGACCTCGTCAACCTGCTCTTCCTCCACAGTATAGCTTACTAAAGCAGCTTTGACATTCATTTTTCAGTATTCTTTGAAACTCATTTTTTGATAACAATGAAGTATGTTTACTAACATTGAGTGATTTGTGGTAACGTCACTACTGGGAGGGGCAATGTCCGATTAAAAGTGATCTGTTCTTATGTGCGATTCGCCTATTAGTTCGTCGTAGGGAAACCGTTATCCTAGGAAATTAAGCAAATGAACTTAGTGATCACTTAATGGATTAAGTGCAGCTCTCCTAATGAGCTTCGTGCTCAATGAATCTGCGCTACACAAGGTTTCCATCCGATGAATCCACTTAATTTCAGTGTGTTCAAAATTCATAAAGATCTATGGTTTTTGGTTTAGTTGGAGATATATCTTAACTTTGGAGTTAAACTTGAACCTTATCGTGAAGTCAGCAAATTAAATAGGAACCAGTTTAGTCCATAAGCTGAAATGATTCTCTGCTCGGTCGCAGCAGAAAATGGATTAAGCGATTTCGTTCGAGATTGCGTCGTCCCTTGGGTATTAGAAGATTTCCAAAGTCTTTATTATACTCTAAACTATGAAGGTGCACAGATAGAAAAGTTTTTTAGTTAGGATAACTCATACTGTCTAATGAATCTAAATGAAGGGTAGACTTCGATGGATCATCAATATGTATCGTCTTGACGCAGCGTATCCATTTGTTTCATCGCTTTCCAGACATCTTAAATAAATGTGGTCGAGTTCATGTATTGTCTCTCGTGAGATTTGGAGATATATCATCTTCTCTTTTCCCATATTGAATGCTGATTGTGATTTTTCTGGAATCTCATGATAGCCACAATTGGGAGCAACTCCGGATCTTCGTACTGGCGGCCGGTTGATATTGTCGATTTTGTGGAAGTTTGCGACCTTTCGTCTATGGTTGTTGTAGGACGATAGCCATTGTTCCAATGTCGGCGATTTCTGCGATAACTCGACCTACCGATTGAGGGCGCATCAGGGGAATCCCTAAGTGTTTTCATAAAAAAATCTGTAGTAAAAATTTCACCCTTGGACATATAAGGACAAAAGTTGAGGTGAGACTAGATTATTACTCCAGAAGTAGATTTAATAAATTCTTATAGAGCTGTCGCTTCTTCATATGAAGGCGAACATTAATAAATTGGTGGAAAATTTCGTTTGGAAAACCGATTTTTGACGGCAAGCCCAGATTACAATACGGGACTGTGTCGGTGGAATTTAAAGCAGAACACTGGGGTTAAACATATAAGCACTCAAACAGTAGTCGCAGTTAATTGTATCAGTGGTCTTTGGTTAGCATTTGAATATTCTTTACGTTATTGTAGCATTGGTATCGAATCCATGTGAGCGAGGACACTGTAGTAGGCACTGTCTTACTGAAGATGACAGCGACTGACGACGACGGCGGTGAGAATGGTAGAGTCGGTTATCGGCTCTCCGGAGGAGAAGGTGAATATGTCCAGATAGACGAGAACACTGGAGAACTGACCTTGTCTCGCGCTCTTGATAGGGAAGAAAACGACATCTTGCGGTGGGATCGTTTATTCTTTTCATTCAAATTTTTTAGGTGATAAACATTATCACCTTGACTTCCAATAGATTTGTTTTAGCTACTCGGCAATTGCGTTTGATCATGGCTCACCGTCACAAATGTCAGTAGTAAATCTCACCATAGAAGTTGCAGATGTCAATGACAATGCACCTTTCTGTCTGGAAGCAATCACTACGGTAAAGCTTAAAATATATCGAATATCTATTTATTCTAACTCAATAAACTTCAATTACGCTGCTACTAAACTTCTTTTTTCATTTTTGTAATAAACCCAGATTGCTGTCTTGAAATTTGAAATCCACAATTTCCATACTTTATTTCTATACGTCGTTGTGGTTTGCAGATCGATTATTTCCAGGTACGAATCCCAGAAGACTATCCTGACGGCGCACTTGTTGGATGTGTGGCTGCAACCGACGCTGACGTTGGAGCGAATGCACGTCTGAGATTTTCAGTTGAGTCAGAACAAAGTGGTATTACTCCACCGTTCAAAATAGACCATCGTACTGGTTGTGTCTTCATTCATTCACCTCATCAACCGCTGGATTTTCAACGCAAAGCGAGCTACAACATGACTATCGATGTAAGATTAATTTTATTGCTTAGTTGTCTTTATTGTTTCGTTTTGTCCTTTAGCTTAACATCGTGTCGTTTTTCTGTCTTTTGGATTTTCATTACTTTTCAAAGATTTCATATCAACTTTGTTAGGTTCTACAATTTGTTACGCCTCATGAGAGCTGTCTATTCCTGTAGTCGGTTGAAACAGCAATTTCTAAATGGACAGAATATGAATGACTACGTGAATGCATAGACAAAGGTGAATTTCAGGTAGCTGATAACGGCGAAACAGTTCTTAGCACTACCTGCTCATTCGTAGTTGAATTGGAAGATGTGGATGAGAATCTTTTTCCTCCGGAATTTGATGATGTTGCTCTTGAAGCCAGCGTCTATGGTAAAGACTTTCTTAACCAAACTAAGTGAAGAGTTGATATATTTATGTATATGATCTTATAAACTGATCTTCTTAAGCTGACGCGAGGTTGGTACAGATCTTCGCTGTCGTTGTCGTTGTCGTTGTTTTTGATGTTATTGAACGATGGCTGACGTCGCCTTCCTCAGAGCCGTGATGTTACGTGCGGGACTCATCCCAAACAACGACAACGAAGATTTGTACCAATCTCACGTCAGCTTAAGAAGATCAGTTTATAAGATCACATAAATAAATATATCAACTATCTATGCCGAGGTTCATAGAAAGTCGGTCTTTCGAGTTATTAAGTGAAAAGTTTTTCCAAAGATTGATTAATATCATAATCTCAGAGAATATGCCAATTAACACTGAAGTTTTGATTGTGAAGGCGACAGATCAAGACAATCCAACAGCAACATCAGCTATTGACTACAACACTGTTGGTGGAAATGGCATGGCTTTCTTCTCCATCGATGCTTCTGGTATATCATTTTGGATTTTCCGTAAAAATGGCTCGTTGAACTTTTCTCTAAATTTTGCACTATTAGACCTTTTTGCGATTCTAATAGTGAAGCATTGATTTCTAAGAGATCACTCGTCTCTCGTTTAGAGTAGCACCGGTGTCACTTGCATCAGTAGTTCTTGTGGGTGAATTTTCCTTCACAAATGACTGTCGGCTGACTAGGTTGTTATGCCATTTTCATCCCGCTTTGAGTTGATAGGGGTCAAGTTAGTGTTCCAGCGGTTAGGGAATTTTGTGTTTTAAATAGAGTATCTATTTTTGTATAGATGCTAGGATTTGGTCGTTGTCTACTAGGCACCTTCATATTTCGTTCGAATTGAAGTCTAGTCCTGTGTTGCGAGATCTCTTTCTGCTGTAGAGCTTATCGGCAGTTCTACAAATAGTTTAGAAAGATCTTAATTTCTTAATTAAGGGTTTCGAGCTTACTGAAATTTTTATTTATATATTCATTGGTCCTGTAATATCTAAAAGTAGATTTATTTATTATTTTTATTATTATTTTTATTTTTATTTATTTATTTTTTATTTTTCTTATCTTGATGTAGATTTTGTCAATCAGTCTGTTGAGAGGAAAAGGTATTAAACTCGACGAGAAGGTTGTATTTTGTCTGGTTTCAACTCATTAATGGGGAATAATTCTCAATTGGGAACGGAGCGAGTTAGAAACAGATAGCGTTCCTACTGCTTTTGGAGTTGAACGTCGAGGAAATATCTGGCGCGAACTACCAACTTTTTGTAAAAAGGAATTAGTTGGAGAAACTATTTTGCTCTTAGGGTTAGTATATCAGTTTTTTTTATATCTCGTCAAGCGGATTATTGGTTATGAAATCTTGATGGTGAAGAGTTTATGTATCAAAACAGTTTGTTTAGTTGAGAGGAACGTGTGTTCTGTCGGTGGGTGTTTAACCAATTCGCATCTAAAACAGAGAGTATTTGAGAATACAGTTTGGTGAAAAAAGGTCACTTGACATCATTTAGAGATACTGAGAAATTCCTGAGTTTTAAGAGAAACATCGAGAAATCGATAAGACGATGAGTTTTAAGTCTTCTGGGAAAGTTGGATGTTTGAATAGAATCTACTGTTCACATTTCTGAAGCCTTGTGTGACTGGATTTTTTAAGTTGGTCAAAGTTATGATTTTGTTATTATTGAGCGTCTCTTGTTGGATTTGTTATTCAGTTTCATTCGATGGAATTTGAATCATAGACCTCGATGCTCAGTCAAGTGTAGTCGGCTACGATAATTGAGGCCTTTGTGCGATAGCTAACTTGGGGTCAGCTAGTGTGTTTTACTGGAAATGACCGTAGTTAGGGTTGATAGCTATCACTTGTTGGTTCGTTTCTTTTATCAGTGAAGTTGAAGATACAGGTCTTTCTAGAGTTATAAACCATACTCACAACTGAAGCTAAGGTTCTCTTTTTCATCCAATCAGCGGGGTTTTTCTTAAATTTTATTTCAATAGAATGATGTTTGGAGTGTAAGGTCGTGAAAAGAACAACTAGGGTTAATTTCCAACTCGTTATTATCCTGGGAACTTATTTATTTAAAAAAATAATACTTGATACTTGATAGTTGAATGGCCCGTCATCACTGGTTTTGCTGGCCCAAGCCTAATCTCAATTTTTCAGAGATTTGTTGGTTAAGCCATTATGGTTCCATGAGTCCTGATGTCTGCCTGGCCAAACTCTGCCCCAGTTCTTCACCACCATAGGCAGTCGCAGCCCTTGTGGATTAGAGGGACATTTACCACCACGGGACTTTGATACCATGTATTGACTTTGGTGGATCCTGGTATTGGTTTACTCTTAGCTAGGCTTCCTGATGGAAACGCCGGACTTCTTCTTAGCCTGGGAGACCCTGGCAAGGGATGAATCCCCGCTGCACATCGCAGTCCGACATTCAAGTACACCTCCCAGCCACGATGAGGCGGTAAACCGTTGAGAGGTTAAAAAAGTAATAGAACTAACAGCCACAGTTGAATGTGAAATGAATTGTTTTCCAATGTGTAAGTTTTTGTTCATTGCCTATTATTTTTATGATAGTGTATAATTTTAAACTTCATGTAGTAATTCCGAACAGAAATGAGAACAAACTGGAAAGTTGAGGTTTGTCATCAAGCTGTGGTAGTGTTTTTGGAGCGTTTCACTTTAGAATCAATTAAAAGGGCGGAGCCACGGGTTCTTTGAGTGCTATAATATATACGTGAATTTCCTCATTACACTAAATGTGTTATTGTTGTTGTGGTCGGTAGACATTTCATTTACTCGTGGTGAATCGTTGTCGGTTCATTCAGAAGGACGTCTGATCAATAGTCATTACACGATGGCTTAATTAGCATGTTGACTGGTTGTTTTCGTGTGTCTCGAAGAAGCTGCTAATGTGACAGATGGGCCGTGTATGATGAGGGTGATGGTGGTGAGCTTCTGGGAAGCCTACGTTATCGAAGGCATGTTACGTGAAATACAACCACAGTGATGTTGAAATTTTTTCGAAACTTGGATCTCAAACCAGCTTCGAACTCGCGTTTACCACATGTTACTCATTGCTCCAATGAGACCTTTGCTTTGACTTCCGCTCAACCAGTTTCGAATCTGGCCCAGGACCCAAGTTTTGAAAATATTTTAGCATCATTGTGGTTGTATTAAAACGTTCTTTGAACATTCGTGCAACGCCCCGAAGTGAACTACGAGCTTAACAGTTCGATGGAACGTTTGGGTATTCTCGTTGTCTTCGTAACGTATGTGGGTACAATGAAAACAAATTTTGTTTTAGAACAGTTTTAGCCACTGTAGGATTAGCAATAAGCTTTTCAATGGACTGAAACTATTGCTTGTTAAATACAATGCTCTTTGTTGCATTTCTGGCTTCTTGATATCCCCTCTAATCCGTAGATAGTCTGCATTCACCTAGGCCGAACAAATTAAAACTTCATACATAGTGTTCGATACGACTACTTCTCAAAGAAACTTGATTTAGAATAAGCCGTTAACGTTGAAAAAGTTTCGCTTAGAGGACCCCTACCATATTATCAGGATCATATCAGCTACTCTCTTGCTGGCATTTCACTTAGCTTATCTCTTCGGTGCTATCTCGCCCGTGCTTCAGATGTGAAAGCCGATCTTTGCAATGGTGATGGGTTCGCTACCCCATCAGCTAATCTGTCGATGTATCGTCTTGCATTCCATATTTGCTGCTCAGTGGAGTGGCCACTACCAGCTAATTAATCATACCCTGACTTGCGAGTAATGAATGGACGAACGAGGCCTCACTGCGCTTGCCTGACTCTCAAAGGAACAACAAATCATAATTCGTCGTTATAGAGGGACCAAAACAGTCATTGTCTAGTTTTTGAGTAGTCTGATCGAAGTTAGTATTTATAATACTGCCTAAAAATTGGTCAGATGCCGAAGTTCAGGGTTATCCAGGTGAACAAACAATCACCTCATCCTTTCGTGGTTTGAGAATCTCGTCATTTCTTCCGTTCATCTCGTTCTCTTGCGGCTGTCATGGATGTGGTTATGTTTGCATTTGGTTTAGATTGCAGTCTGAGAATTTGATATCTTCCTTCGCTGAGGCTGCTTGTTGAGAGACGAATTTTCTGGAATCCATGGATGGTTATGCTAATGCGTCACCAAGTCTAGCATCATACGCATTCACCAGCCTGTTTTGATTAGAAGTGTTGTATTGAGACTGCGGTTCTTCTGGGACACTAACAAATCATTCAGCTAATCAACCGACGTCTCGAGGTTGAAATAACAAGCAAAATCGCCAAGTTTAGGGTTGAGAATGGTAGACACGTGGAAGTTGAATCTGCCGGATAGCTTAAGAAGTTATCCTCATCGAAGTATTTATGCATTTCTGTGCCTGAAACCATTTCTCTTAAATCATAGAGGTTGTAAGAAAACTTCACTGTTACTTTATAACAATGACTTGAACTAGAAAGTTCTGAACACAGCATTTAATAGAATCATTCGATGTTTGGCTGGTGCAAAAATGATTATTGATTTTATATTATAGATATATTTTACCGTAGATATACAATGTTCACATTGCTGCTAAACACCATTATATTGGCTTTTCCTTCTCAATAATTTCCAATGCAGTACTTTCTTCTGTTACTTATTTCACAGCGATTTTAGCCTTGCTAAAATGATACTTTCAAGTCCTAAGAATCGTATCATTTTGCTTCATGAGTTAAACTTGAACGTATAAAAACAGCAGTAACTCGAAGTGTCATCAAGGCATGGATCTGAAAAAGGTTTTCGAACGCTCAATATGGTGGTGGTTCGGAACGTGTCATGGTAGGGATACGAGTGTTTGTGTCGATGAAGGTCGCGTGTGCTTATCACGACGACTATCTGAAATCAAATAAAAGTCAATATAATCGAAGCTCCGCATCAAAAAACTGCTATATGGGTTATAGAAGAACTCGACGTCCCCAATTAAACGTTCATGAGGTAAAAAGATTAGTGAATGTGAATGGAACGAATGGCGGTAGACGAAGTCGTCTGAAAGCCTGTTCTGTGCTTTTTTTGTGGAGCAAAAACGACCCATTTCTTGATCGCATTGTGGCGTGTGTTAAAAAATGGATTCTGTTGAAGTCGGAATGAGATGAGTCCTCTAGACATTTTCAAAGCCAAGGTTACATTAAAAGGTGGTTGGGATGGATTTTCGCTCTCAGCAGAGGGAATCCTTCAACACAACGTCTTCAGACTTGGTGAAACGAACACAAAAGAGAAGTAACGTTACGAAATCCTATAAAAATGCAAAATCTTTGTAAAATATGGAAATCCATCCTTTTCCAACGACATAAATGGGATCGGCACACGTTGCGCAGTTAACTGAACTAGTTGAGCTACGAAGTCCATCCTCACCGCACATCTTCATTGAACGTCCCGCTACTTAATGCCATCTTTTCCAAGTCTGTTGATAATTACCTGCTGGAGAACTCTTCGAGATCAAGCCGGTGCAGAAAATAACTTCTACCCTGTTGGAATTCATAAGCTTCTCTCTGTAATATCTTTACTCTCTTCTCGAGCTTGTATGAGAAGGTCCTTATGAAAAACTTTTATTCGGATGTAAAAAAGGCTTCAAAAGCTTATGTTTTGTTGGCAAAGATGTATACGGTTAGGTCTGAATGAAGCTATAGGTTTTAAAAGTTGCGGTTCGAAATCTGGTCTTGGTTTTACACCAGCCTAATGTTCATCTGCTCTAAGGGGTAGTTCGGGTACAACGGTGCGTGTAGTGTAGTAGCTGGAGGCGCCCAACAATATACACATGGGACCGGTCCTTGCGCCCAAACCTCACTAAGCCTTCCATCCCTCCGGGATCGGCGAATTGGTACCAAAACTTGTCTGGGAGGATGGTAGCAGTGGCTTGATCCATCGGTAACCCACGGCTAGTTATTGTAACGACCAGATATGCATCCAATTGCCTTCAACGATGGTTGATGAAGTCGAATACATGGCGAGTCCCTCAGGGATTAATCAACGCCGAGAGCTCTACGTTTTTTTATTCTTTGTGAGGTAGTACAGAAGGTTATCCTTTCGTTATTATTATTATTAGTATTAACAGTACCACTTTTACTAGCCAATACTGTTGTTCTTACAATTATTCCTGCTTACTTTTTTGTTGCTATTGCTACTACTGCTGTTATCAGTACTATTTTTTACTATTGTTAGTACTGCTGTCTCTCTTACGCTTTCTTATTTTTCCTACCTATCATAGTAACGTAAGCGTTGATTTTTCCTTTAAGGATTAATTTCATTTTGGTGTTGAGAGGTTATATCGGTTTAGGGTATACTTCAGGGTGTAGTGCATTGAACGTTGTCCATTAATAAGAATATTTGTAGTATTGGCTGTTTCGCCAGTGTACCTACATGCACATATTACTTTATCCTTTATGTCTTTTAGGCACTATCCGTACTACACAAGTGTTAGATCGTGAAGAGCAGAGCAGCTACTGGCTGACGATCGAGGCGAGTGACAACCCCCAATCTCGTGTGGCTAAGACTGGTGTGCTGCATGTATTCGTTCGTGTTCTCGATCGCAACGATCATCGTCCTGTTTCGTTTCTACCAATATACTACGCTAATGTCAAAGAAAACTCACCTCAGGTACGTACTGATTCACTATAATCGCTGAAATGTTCTTTAACACGTAACGGACGATGTAGATGCATTCGTCCATACCTGGAGTCCCCGACTGACCGATATAACCACTGTGGGGGTTATTTTATTCTGATAGTTTATTTCGGTGCACAAATTCCTTTTCCTGCACTTTTTCTAATGACTCGATAGCTCACCCAGCATTGAAGATGGGTGGCGAAAACTTCTATTCTGCATTTAGGAAGGTACAAAAATCCTTTTTTGAGGAAGATTATCGAGGTAGTTGAAGTTGTGGTCGATGAATCGTCGTCATTGTACGAAATGTATAGATATAAGAATACTGTAGTAGATACGGTATAAGCTGGAAAACACTTCCATATGTTGATAGCAATGCCAAGCCTTCCATCCATCTAAGGTCGGCCTATGGTGCCAGAGTTGTCTGGGAGTATAGCAGCACTGACTCGATACATCGGTAAGCCACCGCGAGTCATTGTATAGGGAAGATATGCATGCAGTCACCTCCAACAATGGCTACTGAAGTCGTATGCATGGCGCATCCATCCCATAGGAATTGATCATTGATCAACGGAGGAAAGCTTTCCTTTTTTATTTTTGTATGCATACATATGCATAATGTTTTTTTTAAGAAATAATGGACAACAGAATAGAAAGTGTTTCAGTTGAATTAGCTTACTAGCTAGTTCGAAGCGTATTTTACATTCAGTTTGAAAGCGCGGTTAATTACTTATTTGTTAATGTGGTCTCCTTCCAGAACATTGTCGTCATAAAAATCGATGCCATCGATGGTGACGATGTGGATTCACAATCGCCATCACCGTTACATTACAAAATCGCCAAGGGTGATCCGCAGAGCTTCTTCCGGATTGATGACCATACTGGTAGGTTCTACGAATAAATTCCCGGTCTACTCCATGAGTATACTTGGCCTATTAACGTGTCTGGCTGTAAGTATGGATAATTGTGTTTTCTAAACGTGTTGAGATTCTATGAACAAGGTAAAATAATCTAGTTATTTTTATGAACTTAATTTTCTTTGTTGGTGCATTTATAAGAATCGTAGTGTATTCGGAGGTTCTTTCCGTTATTGATGATTATTGATGACTTTTGCAGGATACATTACCACATCTGGTTCTCGTCGGTTGGACCGTGAAACCCAGCGTGAGCATGAACTTTCGGTAGAGGTATGCGATTCTGGAGAACCACAGCTTTGCTCGAATGTTCCGGTTGTGGTTAGCATCGACGACGTCAATGACAATGCACCAACTTTTACACAGTCCATTTTCCACTATAATATCCAATCTGGAGTGATGGGAAACGTTTGCAGGTGATCAATCTTATGCAGTCATCTAACAAAGCACTGCATGCTTTCTAGCAATGATGAATTGTTGAAAATTTTAAAATAGAAAAACTAACTTGGTCCATAAAGAGTGGATATCACAGGGTTTTCGCAAGCGATGGTGATATTGGAATGAACGCAGAACTGTTCTATAACATTACCGACGGCGATTCGAGATTTACAATTGATGAGAACGGATATATTGCTGCGAGTACACCGATAAAAGCGAATGAGGTTAGTTTTTGCCACTTCATTTTTGGACAACAACACACTAAATAAATAAAGGCGTGTGTAGTGCAGTGGACGGAGACTCCCGGCACTACACATGGGATCGATCCTCTCACCACAGGCTCACCAAGTCCTCCATTCCTCCGGGGTCGATGAATCGGTGCCAGATTGGTCTGAGAGAATAGCAGCACTGGCTCGATACATCGGTCTGCTACCGCGAGTCATTGTAAACGTCAGATATGCTTTCAATCACCTCCAACAATGCTCTGTGAAGTCGAACGCCGAATTCCTCAGGGATTGATCAACGCGGAATCCTTTATTATCTGTCGAACACGAAATTTGATTAACTTTGAAACTAGTTCGTATCAATTGTAGGATGTACATGAGTAGATATTACAAAATTAAGCTTTTTCTCTGACCTGAAAATGTCATGTCTAGTAAATGTCTAAATATACAGTTCATGCAGTTAAGCAAGAAATAACTGTTCTGAGGTTTTCAAGGTATCCACTCTTACGATCCAAGCAACCGATCGAGGCCGACCGGCTCAAATGACTCAAGCACGAGTTGTTCTGACGGCTGTTGCTGCACCTCAACGTGCAAACGATTCAGATAATCGCGCTCCCCAGTTTTTAAAGAACACCGAAAAAATCCCAGTATCGGATGCTGATCAGGTCAGGGAAATTGGCATTTTTGAGTAGTGAATAACATTAATAGGTTGGGATTGAACCAATGTGGTTTAGTTTTTGATATCTTCGGATAATATATATCTTGCTCTCTTGTTATTTTTCAGAGTTTTGTCTCAAGAAGTATATGTCTGTTTAGGTTGGGTTTACCATCGGTAAATTAGAGGCTATGGATCCAGACGGGGATGCGATATGGTGGAGTATCATTGACGGAAATCTTAATGAGACTTTCTCGTTGAAAGCAGATAGTGGACTATTGCAACTTTCCAAACCTATCGAAAGTGTTCGCCAAAATGTCTCAGTAGTTATTCTTTCAATTCAAATCAGCGATGGTCAACTCAACGAGACGGCTACGGTACGTCATAAGTTGTTTTCTTGCAATGTAATTGTTTTGTTTACCTCTTTACCCTTTCATTTGTGCTTAGTAGAACTTATTTTGTCGAGTCACCCTAGTGGTTGCCGTTAAATTTTTGCGAATTGTAGAAAGTGAAAGGCCTTTATTTCACTGTTATCGAGATTACTTCTGTATGTGGAGTTAGAGGGGATTGGTCAGCGATGAGAGTTTTAGAGCTTTTGTTTTGCACTTACAGAGTTGATAATGTTGTTTTTTTCTTTTTAAAAGTTGGGATTAAGGACTAAATTAAGTCTAGAATGATGTAGGAAAAAAGTAGGCGTTGCTAGTAAATGAAGCGAGTGTGCTGAAGATGAGGAGAACGAACACATTCTATGAAATGGTAGAGTATGAGGAAGGAATTGGTGAAGATCTTTCATGTCCACCTAGCTATATTGTACAGAGCCATTTGTGTTGATATCATCGTTAGGAATTTGAACAATAAAATGGGTTGTGGTTTGTCTTTTGAAGTTTTATATCATTGTTTGTAGAACTTCCTTGATCAGAAAAGAAGCTTCTTTAGGTCGTTGTTGAATTGTCGCGTTCTCCCACCATTCGACCACAGTTCTCAGCAAAACATTATAAAACTCAAATCTCCGAAAAGACTGCAGTAGGCACTCAAATCTATACTGTTCGTGCCAGAACCAGTGATGCTGTTTCTACTGCGAAACCCTTACTGTACGGTATTCACTCAATTGAGGATACTGAAATGGAGGATAAGCTTCGCGTGGAACCCAGGCATGTTTTTCTCTTCTACTTTTTATGATGGTTTTTTGAAGTCTAGTCTTTGTTATCTTTTTCGTTTGTCGAGTGATTCGGGTGGACATCAGTGAAGTCTCTACTTGTCATTGTGACACTACAAACGGTTCTGTTTTCTATTCAGTGGTTTCCACTCGCTCAAAACAGAAAAACCAACACACCTATGTGTGAACATGGCTACATATAAATGGGATCTCTAAGCCAATCCAATGTAGCAGACCGGCAAAGGCCCAAAGGCCCTCTTGAATTCACAGCGTTACAGAACGTTCCATGGGTAGGACCACTGTTACTGCTCGTTTAATATCGTATCAGTTAATCATCTGTGGACTACGTGCCATTGTGACTGGACGGTTCAATATCTAAGGAAATATAAAGATTCGTGGAGTATTGAATTGCTGTCCTATATTGTCCCGTATTAGCGTTGTATTATTTGTATCCCTTTGATAATTTCGAGTGGACACTAGCAAATTCCACTAGTCTCTGTTATACAATGGAGTTGGTAGAATGGGTACGAAGGTCATAACACTTTTAGTGCGATGTATCTTTTAGCTATTTTTGCCAGCCAAGTAATAGCTGCATGCTCACGAGATTTTACCATCGCATGTCTTTACTCTTAGCTGGGATTCTAGATGGAAACGCCGAAATCCTTTCAAATAGGACATCTTGGGGGAAGTGAGCCATCCAGCTATAAGTCGCAGTTCAACAACCCAAAAAAGCTAAGCGATAAAGCTGCTCTGGTGGTAGAGGACTTACTAACCTACTACCGAGAACTTACTTCTCTGACGTTGAGGTCTGACTCATTCATAGACCTACTGGAAAGACCAACCTTTGGAGTTCTGCTCTCGTTGTTCGCCTTGTGGTATCCAAGAACACCTCCAGTTACAGTGAGGTGGTTAGCTATCTTGACAGAAGAAAGAGACTGTCTATGTTACTAATAAGATTTTGCCTCTATTTAACTTTTACTTTTTCCTTTTCTTCTACGTCTTTGCAAATGCTCATTAGGAAATTAATGACTAATGGACCAATTTGTATACCATTTCAGTACTGGTAGTGTTCTGTTGATGGAGTCACTTGACTATGAAGTATGCCGTGAGATACGTGCAATAATTTTCGCAAAACAAGGTGCACTGGCGAACTACGTTACACTTACGATTACCGTAACCGATGACAACGACAACCCTCCTCGATTTGTTCATAAGGATTATTTCGTTACACTAGCACTAAGGTAAAATGGTTCTCTACACGTTTACTCGTTTCTTTTTTTGTAAAAGAATAAAAGATAAAGCCGTCGACGTTGGTCAATCCCTGAGGATGTGGGAAGCATTCGACTTCATTAAGCATCATCGTTTGGAGGTGATTGAATGCATATCTGGCCTTTAAAATGGCTCGCAGGGGCCGATGTATCGAACCAGTGCTGCTGTCCTCTCGGAGAAATTTGGCACCAATTTGGCGATCCTGGAGAGGTGGAAGGCTTTGTGAACCATTGGGGCAGGGACCGATCTCGTGTGTGTGTTGCAGAGCACCTCAGAGCACTGTACCACACGTGCCCTTTCTTTGTTTGTATGTCAAAACAATTCTTATTAATTAGGGAGACGAACATCCTCATCCAGTGTCGTCTTTTTAATAATTACTTGCTTTCTCTTTGATGTGTATATAATCGAAAGGTACTTTGTAATATGTGTTGTTTCGCTTAAGGTCAGCAGTGGGCTCATCAGTCGTCACTGTACTGGCTCATGACTCTGACTCCGGTGAAAATGGTGTAGTGAAATACAGTATCACTAGTGGTGGGTCTATAGTTGTTAGTATAATCCTTTATTAATTAATTCAGCAGAACTTGCTTTTTGATAAAATGCTGCTGATGGGGATGGATTCAGATTGCCGATATGCTATGTTTGAGCGAAACGATTGCTCATTTTTAGGAAACGAGCTGGGTTTCTTTTCTTTGGATCCTGTTCTTGGAGTGATTCAAGTTGCTAAAGTTCTGCCTAGCGAACACACGGAAACAATTCTGACTGTGAGAGCGACAGATGGCGGTAAATACCCACTCAGTGACACTACAAATGTTCGTATTCAAACAACTGATTACGATGGTGTGGGACTCCGAATGTCGAGGTATACCCTTTTATTGAAACCAACTTTTAAGTGTTTGCTGCAGAGGCCTACCTCATGTAGTGTTGAAACACGCTTTCTCTTTGAAGAAAATTGAATATAAAAAATTAGTAGGTGCAATTACAACGATGCTGAGAAAGGGTAATAACAGCGAGTTCGATCTCCATGGAAGACACCCGCAGTCCGGTATTTTGAAAGTATCTCACCATCATTGTGGTTATATCTCACATCATGCCCTGCCATGGAAAAGAATAGGCATAAATAAGAAGTGATTACTAGTAGATGCTTTAAGAGGACATGATGACCTGCACTTGCCAAGCTACCTATAAGCGATGGAGACGTAATCACATTGTTGCTTAGATTAGAACTTCTTCTATGCTGTTCAACTGTTGTTTTCATGTTTAATTAATATTATCTGTGTGAGCGGTGTTTTTAAGAGCTCTATATCAACGAACAATCAAGGATTCAACACCACTTGGAACGTTGCTTCTCGTTGTAAGTACGCGGCCTAATGGAGGAGTACGATACAGCATAAAACAGCCTTGTCCGTACTTTGAAGTTCACGCTGTAAGTTTCAATTTTGTTTGACTGTTTCTGAATGCTACTGATTTTGTTAGACATTACCACTTCCCATTATGACGATCTATCTCATCAGGCCTCTGGAGCTGTGTCTTTGATTCGTTGGTTAACAAGGGAACGGGCCAAGAGTATTGGATGTACAGTGATGGCGAGGAATCGAGCAGGTTTAGAAGACACGGCTAAGGTAATGTCTTAAACTGGTGAAATCGTAATTAAAGAGTTTGAGCCATGTTTCGTAAAGCAGTATATTCTAAGTTGAGAGTTATTTTTTCAATCAGAACAAGGATGACAATAATTTTCTCCATCACACAAACAGCAACAGCTGTATTTGTTTCCGATGCAGTATCTTTTGGAAAGTGTTTTAAACTGCTGCTTAGTTGCTGAAGGTCCGTTGTTCACGGTTGTCGTTGTGCATAACTAAGCGGCATCCATTTGGTTGAGTTTAGATTCTCTGTGGGTGATTGAATAATTCTTTCTACTTCTGTTCAGCAAACACGAGGTGCTATTTTATTCCTTTATTTACGTACAAACTGACGTTTCGGCGGATTTCGCCTTCCTCAGAGCCTGGAAAGGTCAAGTTGACAGCAACCTATCCGGCCAAACACTTCCGTAACCAAACAGAGAAAACGCTGAACCAAGATTTCAATCACATTTAACATAGCCCTACACACTCACCGCTTTCTATGAGTCTTCCACTGAGTATATCGCGTGAAGACCGACCGCACAGAATTCACATGGAAGCGTAATGTGCCCCTCCCATCAGAATAACAGGTTTATGTACTGTCCAATATCACGCGTAATAATGTGGCATTCCTCCCTGCGGTTCATTTTCGGATTCTTGGAATTAATGCAGAATGCCTCTAGAGTTTTGCGCGCTTGTGTTCTCGATTCTTCCGCGAGGATCGTAACCCTTACTTCAAAATCTTTCCGTTATGTCTCTGCGTCCTATGCGTGCCTAGTGGAGTATTTCGTTTACGTTTGCCGATTAGGTGGTCTTTTATACGTACGCAGAGTGGTCTACCCGTTTCGCCAACGTATTCCTCCGCCGCACGCTTTACAAGAGATCAGATAGACTGTACCCGAACTCATGCAGTCACCGTTTCTACCATTGGGGCAAATTATGCAATTTTGCGTTGCACATAGACGGTCGTATAGGCCGTTACGAACTAGCTGGCGTCTTAAATTACTCAGTGGTATTTCAATTATCGTTACCGAATTCTCTAGACTGGCCCTTCTTAAACAGCGTTTTATAGCTGCACTTACTTCATTTGAAATGAAAGGCAGTATAAACGGGCCCTTATTGTCGCTAGAGTTGTCATTGGGGTACCTGTGGTTTCCTCTACACCTATCTCGAGCTACAGTTTCGTAGCCATTAAAAATGGCTATTTGCCGCGCCAAGTTCCGGGTCTCCTCTCTCTGCTGTCTTCCTGTGCACACGTTGGTAGCTGTACGAAACAAGTTCTCACAAGCCCCCTTTTCGTGTGAGAGGGATGAGAGGAGAGGTAATGAACCAGGATGTTTTTACTACTTGGCTTTCGAAAACTTCGAAGGCTTTCTCTGTGGGTGATATTGAATGTAGATGGTTGTTGACAATCGCAGGGGACTTCTTCTACTCGTTGAGAGATGAATCTAAGAGTTACGAGATTTTTAGGACTAATTTTAAGCTCTTACTTTGCTTGTAGTTTTCTGAGTAGTTATTTGTTTGATATTAGAAGGAATTTCCATTGTTTAATGACACATTTTGAACTGGTAGAGTGAAGTCTTACTTAAGTCAGGTTATCAAAAATGCTTAGATAAATTTAGTTTAACTGTGCTTTTGGCAATAATCGTCAGTATATACAATGGCGGCAGAAAACGAAATAACACATTGTTTTTTAAACGTATTCTTCTTCTGTTTAAGGCGACGCTTCCTTCAAGCATGGACTATTAGAGTGTAATGTGCTGCTGTCTGCGGTAATGTTGTAGAAACTAAGATTCTATATTGCTTGGTCCAGTGGGGCGGGGTAACATATGCGCAGAGTCTTATGACCGTTCGTAACTTGACGGAATATCTTTAACGACCATGTTATCCGTTTAATGCCTGTGTTGAAATGTCCGTGGATTTGGCTTTTCACAATGGTTTACAGAACACCTTAGCAACCACGTTCGGTAAATTTAAAACCCTCATTTCTTTTAGTTTGCTTGGGAAAAGGAATAATAAGCATAGGTTTACCCGTTTGGAGTTCAACCTCCTCGTTACTTGGCAAAAATCCAGGCATAGACGGTCTACACTTACACACTTCTGGTCAACATCAGTTCGGATCTCCTACCTACGGGTCAATATTCCCTTTATTCCATGTTGATCAGCGATGAAAAAGTTCGGTGGATCTCCACAAAGTGGCGGACAGCATTGTCTTCGTTCAATTTCGTTTTTTTTCTTTTCGTTACTGACTCTTCTGGAACTCACTATTCTATTAAAATGGGAAACTTTACAATAAGCCAAAACTAACTCTTATACCTTACGGTTCTTCGAAACTTGGGAACATTACCTTTTGTAGAAAGAAGTTTGGGTGTTCGTTTAATGTTCGGCGCAAAAGTTAGTAAAGAAAGGTGTTGAACTAATTTTTTAGTCTACTTAGGGAAATAACAGGGTATCAGCAAGTGTGAATAGATTTGAAGTCCCAATTTTACCAATTTTGTTGATCGATGTTTAGATCGTAATAAAAGTGGCGAGCACTAATCAGAATGCTCCGATATTTAAGCAACAAGTCTATCGTGGCTTCATCCGGGAAAACAATCCAAGTGGTTAGTTGTTTGTTGTTAATGTTTTTTAAAAGTCAGTTACAAAAATTTCTCTAGTCTTTAATGGACATTTAGCATATACGTGAATCAGAATACTAACGCTTGACCTTAAAACGGTTTCATCATCATTCTTTAAATCCAATTATTTGCTAATGTTGAAGGTTCTTCTGTGTTATTGGCGGACAACTCTCCTCTACTGGTTTCGGCTACGGATAAGGATATCGGTCCTAATTCTCTCATCGGTTACAGACTACTTAACACCAATGAACCGTATTTTGTTGTTGATTTTGTGACAGGAGCCGTTAGATCAAGGAAGCCATTGGATTATGAGGTGGTCAAGGAGTGGATGTTCTACGTACAAGCCAGGTCTCGGTTACTCTTCATTTTTTTTCTCCTCTTTCGTCAGTTCACCTATTGACATAAAACTTTCTATGGTTGTGCTGGTCAGGATAACAGTGTGTTTTGTCAATAGTTTTACGAAAATCATCGCATTATTTTAAAACTGACGAGTTTAGTACTTTCATTACGATATGGATCATTTTTATTCGTACATGACCGGTACTACTAGGTTGTTCAGAAATACATGAGCGTTTTAAAATATTTGTTGTTTTGATGTATTTTTTACAAACAAAATATTCTCTGTAGTGCTTATTTATTTCTGAACAGCCTTACACTTAAGCCTTCAATTTTAAAACATGTCTAGTGTGATAATGAACTTTACTAATTGGGTCATCAAAAACCATTATAACCTTTAGGCATTTGCCAACGATACATGTATTTTTATTATCCTTTCACTGGCTACGTTGAATTCACGTTGAAAGCCATAGATTGTCTTTCTTCTCATTGAGGGTTGTTTTGAACTGACTGAAGTGTACGATTTTATCCATAAAGACATGCATGATGTCTGATGACTAGATGCACCATTGATGTTTGCAGCTGTTAAGTCTTTGTTGATATTTTAAAGATTTGGATTTCTGAACGTTTTGTGGGGATTTTACACAAACCAACGAAAAATACGAGGTGAGAGTGTGTAAAAAAAATATTCATAAATCCTTAGAACGATAGGTCATAGTTTAATCTACAACCGATTAATCCATCAGCTTCTCAAGTTCTTTGGCTATCATGAAGCTATTAGTAGTAGTCAGAAAACGACCATCGTCGCGAATTTGTGAATATCCTTGACTCAGAAGTCACTTAGATCACATCAATCGCTTATTAGAGCCACTTTCAGTTTCCAGCTAACGTATCTCAGTTACTGGTGTTAAAATCTATAGGTCTGTGGCAATAATTAAAATATTTTCTTATTATATTGCCATGAAGCTTTTAGTTTTGGAGTCAGAAATCGCACTTTTTCGTCGAGGCTTGAATTTCTAAGGCGAATGATATTGAAGAAGCGGTGTTTTATTCAGCAGAATGCGACGACGTCCCTAAAAACGTCGTTAATCGTTGCGGCTGCTGTGCTTCTGTTAAAATTTCTAGGAATTTAGATTTCTAACTGATTGGAAATTTTTATTCAAACCAACTTCGAAAATGAAATCTTGTTGGTTCTCAACACTAAAATACTCGTTAACGAGAAATTATTATGAACAGTTATTGAAAAACCAGCTTCAAATTCCGAGTGAGAATAATAACTCAGATTTATTCAAGTCTCAGAGTTCTTTCCATTTGAAAGAGTTTTTGCTAGAATTCTGATTGTGATGTGATAAGATAGCATGTTGAGCTTCTGATGGGCTTCATTATTTCAGTGACATGGGAGAACCGAGACTTTCGTCACCAGTTCCAGCTATGGTAGTCGTGTCAGTGCTCGACATCAATGACCAAAAGCCCGTATTCACCATGTCCATTTATGAAGTTGATCTTTTGTTACCAGTTGTTGCCGGCGTTGTAGTGGCGAGACCATCAGCTGTAGACAAGGACACTGTTGGAAAGTTAAGGTACACTATCAAGGTATGTTTCGAGCTTTTGGCTGTCTTTTCGCTAATTATTGTGAAATATTTCGAGTTGGATGATCCTAAGTGCTTCAGACTGGAGTGAAATTAAGCTTTTACCATCATAATAAAATGTAGGTGCGCGTGTAGCGCAGTGGTGGGAGGCGCCCGGCAATACAGATGAGATCGTTTTCCGCGCCCCTGACCCACCAAGCGCTTCATCCCTTCGGGGTCAGAAAATTCGTAGCAGACTTGTCTGAGAGGATAGCAGCACTGGCTTGATACATCGGTAGGCCACCGCGAGTCATTGTAAAGGCCGGATATGTATGCATTCGATCACATCCAAACAATGTTTGATGAAGGCGAATGCATGACACAGCCATAAGGGAATTGGTCAGTGCAGAGAGCTTTATCATTTTTAGTAAAATGTAGGACGAATATTACTAAGCGAGAGTATAACGCATAAAATCACACGACCAAAGTCGTTCTTAATTTTTAAGGGAGATGTTCATTCAAAACTGTTCACAATCAATTCTACTGATGGTTCAATCGTTCTGATTCAGCCACACCCAAAGCATTTGAATGAGTCCAAATATGAGGTGACTTTTTAACTTCCCCAGATGACCATCCTATTTCTGTCTTCTTTTCTTTTTGTTGATTGCACTTCGGGTTTCTGTATTTTCGAACTATTAGTTCATTTTTTTTGACGTTAAAATGCTTCTTCCAGATGGATGTGCTTGCATCTGATGGTGTTCACACGGCGACCTCCTCCGTTAGAATAAATATCCGTAAACCAAATACTGAAGCAAACGGTTTTCGGTTTTCACAGATTGAATACAATACCAATGTCAGAGAGAACACTACATATTCTGCTGGAGAGTCGCTTTTGGCTGTGAGTTTTATTCTCAGTGAAGTTCTCGGTTGGCTTGGGCTGGTAAGGTAGTATGCTTAGGGAGTTCTGAGTCGCATATATGCTTGTTTGATTTTCTATGGCAGAGAGAAGGCAGATTCCTTTTGTCTTCGGTCTGGTTCCTGATATTATTCTTCATTCGTGATCTTCGAGATATCCCATTTAAATAGTTCCTCATGATTCCTTTTAATTTTTTCTTCACTGGGCATCTTCTCCATTTTTCTCTTATATTTTCTCACTTTATCGCATTCTTTAAGGTTACTGCTATTGGTGCTCCAGAAGGCGTAAGTGTAACATACCGTATTATGAATGAACGAGAAGAGGTCTTCATCCATTCTGGCACTGGGCTGATCGCTCTCACAGGAAAACGGTTTGATAGAGAGGAAGAGTCGGTCATCCGCTTGCTAATACAGGTTATAAGAGATTTCGCTGAATTATTACCATTGTATAAAATTTTAAGGGAATCCTTTTTATACACTAGACGGCTTTATTCTTAATATACCAGAGCTGAGCTCGTAAGTTTTTCCCCATTAATTGAAATGGTAGCACTACTGTTGATTTTCAAACCCACCGTCATTTAATCTCGGTAACAAAATAGTTGACATATGTTTAAACTGTTGACCTTACACGGAGTTGATAAAGAAATTTATTTTGTCTAACGTTTCGAGGTTTTCGCCTTCAAAGCGGATGATCCAAGTAAGACGAGTTTGACTCGGATCATAGGCTCTGATGAGGACGAAGACGTCGAAACGTTAACCGAAGCATAAATGCGTGTTGATCGTTGTTAATGTTCTTCGTACTACCTGTTATTTGTGGTAAGGTAGTGGCTTCCCAGATAACTTGCAATTGATTGACTCCTAGAAATGTTGGTAGTCAAACTGATCTCTTTAGTTAGAGGATTAGAACACCAAATTAAATTATTCGCATTTCATTTGCAACTTTTTACGGTCACAAAATTTGAATTCATGGGATGTTGCGAGGTCGATGATATGAATTCATTTAATAATTCGATGTTTTTCTTTAATAAGCAGACACGAGGTTGTTATTATAGAATTTATTAGGATACAATAGCCGACGTTTCGGCGGTTTCGCCTTCTTCAGAGCCTGGAAAGATCAAGTTGAGATGCAATCTACCCAACCAAACAGTTTCATAACTCTGGCAGATAAAGCCTAACAAATAAATTTGTATTCGCATAAGAAACAGCTTCATTTAAGCACCTACCGTTTATTTGTTGTAAGTATTTAAGTTAGTTGATGGATAGCAGCCGCACAGAGTAATACATGGGCGAGGACTGTGCCTGTGTCAGGTCATTGGATTAGCCTGAGGTATGGCTTGAGGTCACGCGTGATGGCAAGACACTTCTTCTTGCGGTTCATTTTTGAATGTTTGGAATTGATCCAAAACGCTTCGAGAGTTCTACGCGCTGATGTTTTCGATTCCTGCGTGAGGATAGTGACTCCTACCTCAAAATCTTCTCCGTTGTGTTCTTGCATCCTATGCGCGCCTAGTGGAGTATTTTGTTTTAGTTTAGATTTACCGACTAGGTGTTCTTTTATGCGGACGCAGAGCGGTCTACCCGTTTCGCCAACATATTCGTGCCCGCACGCTTTACAAGAGATCAGATAGACTGTACCCGAACTCATGCAATTGCCGTCTCTACCGTTAGGGTAATTTATTCAGTTTTTCGTTATACATAGACGGTCATATAGGCGGTTGCGAACTAGCTGGCGTCTTGGAGTGTCCGATGGTATTTCTACCACTCTTACGGAATTCTCTTGACCGGCCCTTGTTAAGCAACGTTTCATAGCTGCACTTATTTCGCGTGAAATAAAGGGCAAGAGGAACGGAGCCTTGTTTTCGCTGGAATTATTGCTCTGGGGCGTAATTTTTCCTCTGCGCCTATGCCGAGAAGGTACAATTTCGTAATCATTTGAAATGGTTGTTTGGCGCGCCAGTTTCGAGGATTCTTCCCTCTATTCTCTACCTGTGCACACGCTGGCAGCGGTTCGAAACATATTTCTTATAGACGCACTTTTAGTGTGTGAGGAATGGGAGGAGAGGTAATGAACCACTATATTCTTACTGCTTGGCTTTCGATACCATTTTGTTACGTAGCAGTTTTCGGATAGGTTGATTTGAACGTTTAGAAATGGAAGCCAGTTTTCTTTCGGTTTCTCACGGGTGAATTTTATGTACTCTGATTGTTCGTTCAATAACTCAAAGCATTTGTCCATCTCCTCTTGTGTGGAGCAGATGAATGACAAAACAATGATCTGTATACCTGCAGTAGAGTAATGGCCTGAGATCGATTATTGGTGCTTCCACCTTAGACATGAAGGCAACGACAAGGGTTGGTGCCAGTCGTTGTCCCATTGCGAACCCTCTAATTTGGGGTGTAATATTTCCCGGACCATCTGATGATCGAGCAGTTTAAACAGACCTTTAGGAGGGCCATAAGCTGCTGAATCGAAAAGTTGCTCAAGAAGCTCGCGGATGGCTTGCATTGCGGAGTCGTTCGACACGTTAGTGTAAAGGGCGGCATCGTCGATTGACTCTATAACATACGCGCTTTTGCGACGTGCGTTGTGTAGACGGTCTAGGAACATTTGGGTGTTCGTGAGATGGACTGGTATGTGCTTAAGCAACTGATTGAGGATGAGATTTATAAACCAAGCAATTCTATCCGTAGGCTCGTCTACACAACTGATGATGGGTCTAACTTTAAATATGTAGGGGTCGGTAGACGCCAGATCATCTATGTGTATTAACATGGATCTTGATAAGTAAGCATAAGACGGGACATGTCGGCAGTTCGATCTTAAGAAGCGAAATGTCTGCTGGTTTTAAACCTGCTGCGCTTGCCATTTTAACCCATTCGTTGTTCAGTTTTCGATTTTGACTTCTGAATTCCTTTTCATTATATGCGCTATAGAGAGATGCATCTTCGAGATGTTTTTCCGTTATGTCGACATCTAACTGACGAGGAATTACAACAAACTCCCTACCCTTATCACTAACTGATAGCCTAACAGTCTTTGACTTTATTAGCTCTCGAACCTGTCGCATATCAGATTTTTGCGCAGCTGTAAGATTCGAACTAAACTTTTCCGCACTTAGAATCCATTTAGGCCCGTACTCATGAGATCAAGCCACAGTTGGCTCAGAGTATCGTAACGATCCGTGTGGACGACGTCAACGATTGCGCTCCCACGTTCGTTGGGTTGCCATACGATATAGTTATCAGTTCTGATTCGGTCATAGGAGAAAAGGCACTTTCAATTAAGGCAATCGATCGTGATATAGGTTCGTATACTTCAGAAATTAGTTAGGTCATCTTCATGTTACTGGAATGTGAAACTTAATTGAACACATTGTATCATTAAGGAATGAATGGAATTGTTCGTTACCAAAGTGCAACGCTTCCACCTGTGTTCAAACTAAATAAACATGATGGAAAGATCACAGTGAACGGAAAGTTGGATACGTCTTCAGTGTATCGCTTTGAAGTCGTGGCAATGGATCAAGGTATTCTTTAGCTATTTGTACATTTAAGGGACGATCTCAGTCACATATCTGCAAGATTCTATCTTTTGTTTGGTATCTTAATGCCTAAGGGTGTCTTTGAAGGAACCCCTGTGCTGAAAGCAAGCGAAGAAGTGCGAATTCATGTAGTCGAGAGAGCACGGCCAATTTTCACTAAGAGACAGTACTATGCTAGTATTTCTGAAGGATCGAAGAAGAAAACCGTGGTGACTCCTTTTACTTATTTCTAAACGGCTACGTAATTTAGCGACTGCGATTATTATTGAGACGCTTTTGCAAAATATTAATATGCTTAAGGTAACGAAGGTGAAAGCATCCAGTAGTGTCGGAGGTCACTTGATTTACACCGTTGAAAGTGGGAATGATGATAACCTTTTCGTTATTGACATGGATACAGGTAGCTTTTTTCTTCTTGTTAGTCGAATTTTTTCCATAACTAATCCATCTAAAGGTGTGATCAGCGTGAATGGAGAGTTGGATGCAGAAGAAACGGCTGCATACAATTTAACAGTAATGGCTAGAGATGTGACCCGAAATCTTTTGAATTCGACGGCTGGTGTAAATATTGAGGTGAGCGTTTTGTTTATTGTTCATTCTTTCTTGACACCTCCATAGTTCCATCATTCTGTTTGGAATCGATCACCACGTTCTCATTGCGAAGCTTCTATTCTACTACCAGATGAGAGGAATAATCGCAAAAGTGGGAAGAAAAACAGCATAGTGATAATATTTTAAAGTAGCACGTCTTCTACATAACTAATCAGAGATGTTCCAAGCGAACCAAGCTACTTGTCAAATAATTGTAAAGTTGGTTTTTCTACCAAGAAAGCTAAGCAGCATTTCTACCACTACTAACGATTTACTGAAGAAGAGGAGAACTGGAGTTTCTTAGATGCTTAACACGGCTGGTTTTAAACAACCCCAGCAACGTTTTCCTGCAAGGTTTACAATGGCACAGGTGAACCAAAGATAGTTTTGGGAAACTCAGAAATGGTCTAGTCTGAGGAAGTGAACTCAGGAACTGTGCCAGTAATATTGTTCTGGTGTCAATGTTGATGGGGTAAGATTATTACCACCTTCCGCCGTGGTGTGAAATTATGCTGTTTCTAAACCCTTTTATTTACTGTCTTTTTCTTTTTAATGGCAGGGTATGTTGCGAAATATAACTCGTATGTATTGCTGAGATGCAGCGCACTTCACCACCACACCATCCGGGTCTTTCGTTTTGCCTGTCTCTCAGCTAATTCTATCGATCTTTTTGCCATCAGCAATCACCCGTCAACGGGATTGATCTGGGGAGCTCAAATCGGTATTGAACTCAGTTAAGCTGAGGCTTAGTTATAAGCGCAATCTTAACCGTTTTATTTACTGCCTTTTTCTTTTTAATGGCAGGGTGTGTTGCGAAATATAACTCGTATGTAATGCTGAGGTATTTGCAAAACTCCGGACCGCAGGTGTATGCGAACTAGCTGAGAGACACGCAAAACGAAGGACCCGGATGGTGTGGTGGTGAAGTGCGCTGCTCCCCGGTAAGGACAACAGGGCGTGTTCGTTTCCCACCGCATAAACCTGCTGTCCGGAGTTTTGCAAATATCTCAGCATTACATACGAGTTATGCCGTTTCTGTTCCACAGCTCTTGTCGGACAATATCCTAAAAACTCCGCTGAAGAAACCGATTACTATGCGTTCTTCTACCTAACGAAGTTTTTCGGTGTGTGGTTGGCATTGGTTGATCAACGGTTTATTCTGTATAAGAACTTTACCGTATTGTTACCACAACTCTATGACGAAAATGTGGCTTTTCTGTCGATCCCTCTCCAACCTTGGCAAATCGTCGCCACCATTGAATCAAAGTTGTTCACCTCAGCATTGGTGTTAGTAATAAAGTCGTTCGATTGACATGAAGAAGACATGCGTATTGGTGCCAAATTCCTATCAAGTCTTCGCATTTGCCGACAACCTTGTCATCCACAGTAGAGCGGAGACTGTACCGAAAATGCTCTAAAAGCAGGGAAAAGGACTGCATTGCGAGTTAATCAAAAGAATATTGTCCAATTCTTGAAAGAAGCATTGATGTAATGGGAAAAGTATTGGGATGGATGCTTTCTTGTTCACAGAAATCATATCAAATGGGTGCTTAGAGAATTCTATCGTGAAAAATGGCATGAATAAGAGATCGTGTAGTAATAGGAAAACAACTTGGGTTGCGCTTGAGTCTTTTAGAGAAGCTATCAACTAACTTCTTTAACCAAAAATTCACGTTCATTATCTTCTTTCTAAAGCCCTTTTAATATGTGAGAGAGCTGAGACATGGTTGACACGTCAACCACGTCGCAAACGTGCGCACTACAAATAGGCGGCTTGAACAGTGTACTCTGAAACTGGCGCCGGAAACATCGACCTGGACAACATAGCATTCGAAATATGTATCTTCGAGGTACAGTGTGAAAAAAATTGAAAAATATTGAGTGCGAAACAGTCCCTGGTCATTTAAATGGGAATTGTTGAGGATAAACACGCTGCTTATTTGGATAAGAAAGGTTGGAGGTAATTAGGGGAGAATATCCCAAAGTGCGTTTGAATACAATTCAAAAGAGTGTCCACAGTCGTAAACAATGTTCGGATCACGGGTTCATGGAGGAAAAGACCGGCATAATGAACTGTGATCGCGAGGATAAAAAGAAAATGGGATCAACTCCATTCACGACTTAATAAGAGGAATTTAGGATCTGGAACCAAACATTTATCGTTGTTACGTATGAAACATGTGTTCTCACAGAGTATGATTGGAGTCTTACTTGAAACGAGTTGTTTTATGTTGTTAATTTAAGGTGATTGGAATCAACGACAACGGTCCTCGATTTGAGCATTTTGAGTACCAAGTGAATGTGAGTGAATCAACTCCAGTTGGTAGCAAACTGCTCACTGTTAAAGCTATAGATCCTGACCGTGGTAATGGGCTAATTAGCTACGCCGTTAGTGGCGGTGATGCTTCTAGTGAGTGTGCTTTATTGTTTTAATGGCACAGTAAAGATTGTTTTATACCAGACATTTCTGATATCACCTTTACAGTTGTTCATCTGGACTCGACAAGTGGAGTAGTCATTTTAGCGCAAATGCTAGACTATGAGAAAAAACAGCACTACGATGTTACGGTTGTAGCAGCCGATGAGTCACAGCTTAGCGGAGAATCCAGACTTGTACTAATGGTCGGTATTATGTTCTAAATTTATTGTAGACACAAATGAGTTTTCGGCTTTCTAATTTCTACTCCAATGTCCAGGTTGAAGATGTAAATGATGAAGCACCACGTTTCTCTACTCCATTCGCGTCAGCAGTGATCTCTGATACGGCAACGTCAGGACACTTCGTCGCCATAATGAGCGCGACTGATGAAGTGCGTTGCTATAAAGACTTAACGAAAAAGAGTTAAAATAACTAATTCATAACTATTATGAAGTTGCTGGTCGCAACGGTTGCTACACCGGTGTATTTTAGGACACCGTATCCTCCATCCCAGGTGGTCATCGCTTTCTCTATTCGGTTATTGAAGGCGACGAGACGCTGTTCTCCGTTTCGGAGAATAGTGGTGAAGTAACACTACTTCGCCCTGTTGACAATGATGATGTTGTAACAAATGATGGAAAGAAGATCTTGAACGTCTCAGTCTCTGACGGATTGTTCACCGCCTATGGCCAACTAACGGTTTCCATAACAGTTTCTGGACGAAGGCAGCCTCCTCCACGATTTGAACAGAGCCAATATGTAGTTGCAGTACGCGAAAACAAGTAAGGAGTGGAATTTTGCGTTATTCTCCTATCTTTTTCCAGGTGTGACGTTTTCAATAGGACTACAGCATTTACTCTAAGTACAGGAAATGTTTGAGCTTTGTATAAAATATATTTAATACAAGCAAAGAATGTACCTTTTCTATTAAGTGTTCTGACCAACAAAACTTCCATTCTTATGGTGCAAGCTCGTGATGGTGTAGCGCCTCTCCACTATTCAATTGGCAGTGGGGAAAGTCGAATGCGACCTCTTCGGATTGAAAAACTGACTGGGAGAATTCATCCAAAGATCGTCTTTAATTACCAAAGGCAGAACATTTATAAGTACGTGTGAACATACAATTGCATGGATCACGTGCCGTCATAAATTAACTTTAATTTTCATGTGGAAAAATTTTAGAGTTCCGCTCGTGGTAGAAGATGCTTTGGGTCGACGTGCTTTCAGCACACTGACAGTGATGATCGTCGACGAGAATGACTGCGCTCCAGTGTTTGTAGTCTCGAAGTGGGTTCACTTCCAGAATTTCTCATACTTATACAGTTCTCGAGTATTGGAAAAGGTTTCCTAGTATTCTACCATAGAAAAATCTTTATATTTTGAGTTCCGGGATTTTATACCGTTTCTTATTTCCCGAATTTTAGTAATTTTGTGCGTTTTCCAGATATACAACATCAGTCTCATCAGGAGCTCGTGAAGGTGAAGCACTTTTAATGGTGTCTGCAATTGATGATGACGTTGATGATGTTGTGGAATATACACTGGTTGACAATGGCGTGGCGAGTTCTTCATTCAAGCTTCATCACCGTCACGGTACCCTGTCCGTCTTGAAGCCTTTGGATTCACTAGGTAAGCACTGAATGCTAGGAATTGTGCACAACTTGAGCATCCCTTTGTTTTCAAATGGATTGAAAATATTCCATTAAGTCAGATATACTGTATTGTTGAAGTAACGACTGTTTTGCTACGGTCACTTTTACTCTCATGATTAATATAGTTTTCATCGATTCTCCTCTGCTATTCTTTTCTTTTATGGTACAAGAAAATTTGTAACAAACGAAAGAAATTTCTCTCGCCATTGTCGCAGGTAATCCTGCGCTCTTTTTAGCTAATGTGTTTCGCTGTTCACACAGCAATATTGTTCAGTTCTTCGCAAAAAAAAAACTAGACTGAAAACAAAAAATTACAGTTCTTAGGGACTATAACCTATAAGAGAAGAAAACCAGGATTCCGATCTATATCAACGTTAGAATGTTGAGAGCACCGTTGCTTGCACTACAATTTCGTAAATCAGATGACGTAGAGACATGTCGCATCCTAACAACAATTTTTAGCGACATCGATCGGCAAAAATTTAAGCTTACAACAACAGAACAAATTTCTCAGATTTAACTTTAATGATGCTGAAATATTTGCAAAACTCCGGACCGCAGGTGCCTGCGGTGGGGAACGAACGCGCTATTGTCCTTTCCGGGGATTAACGAGTTCACCACCACACCATGTGGGTCCTTCGTTTCGCCTGTTTGTCAGCTAGTTACACCGATTTCTGCCATCAGCAATCAACCGTCAACGGGATTGAGTTTTGCAAATATCGCAGCATCATTGAAGTTATATTTCGCAATATACTCTGCCATTATAAAAAAGTAGGCAGTAAATAAAGATTTTTTCCGCAGTTTTCCCCACCGTTAAAATTGTTAGGAATTAACTTGACATTTGTTGACATGACCCTACAGCGAGTGGGTGGTTCAAAGAACTCTGGTAGCAGTTCCATGACTTCAGAGTAATACGAGGCTTAATGGACCAAGGGTGCTAGTGAACGATGTAGTCACCGCTAGGATATCCGTCGCCTAATAGGCTTGACTTGGTACTGGGAAATATAAGTGCACATTTGGGAATTCCAGTACATAGATTTCATGCGCTAGATATGGTTCGGTCTCTTAAACTTCTTCTGTAACTATTGCCTCGCACTTATTGCCTGTAAAGATAGTCATACATGGTTTCGTTTGCACATTGGAGGTCAGAAAGATAACTCCAGTAATGAATACAATTGGCTTGTTCAGAAAAGAATCCGTCAACTTCTTTTCTCAATATCAATTTCGTGGCGATTTCTTCCAGTGTTCTTGTCTATTTGTATCCTATGTATTCTATCCTCAACATTATTACTAAGTGAATAGGTTTTGTTTTTCGATACGTATTTCACGAGAAGTGGTTTGATGTTGTGGGTACCCGTTCGTCTTTAGAAGGCATCGCTCGACGAACCTTAGGAGAATACCTTGGTATTCGCGCAGCCTCTTTGATATGATAGAGGCTTGTGTTTTCGCTGTGAGCGGTAGGTCGAAGTCAGAAATCCTATCCTTGAAATTCACGAAACTTACTTTCTCGACAGATTTAACGCGGGGTGGGGATAGCGGAGTGGTTATTGATGCCGTCGATCGGGAAACAAAGGTGCTAGTTCGATCCTCGCTCCAACGCTGTCTTCCAATCCATTTGGGAAATTCTTAGCCCAGCTATCTTCAAGATCGCAAGGAGAATTGACTTTACCAGCATTCTACTACATTCATAAAGAAGACGAGATCCTCAAACAGCACCTTAAGCAACATGCGAAATGTTCGAAGACCACTGTGGATGCTAAATGCGAGGAAACGATTCAAATGAAAGAAGTACTGAGGTCCGCACAATGGAATTGGTGACCGGTCATGTAATATAAAAGAAAATTTGACGCTTCTCGAATGATGAATGTTTTTGTGCGGAGGAACGGTTCTTCGAAGTTCAAGAAGTTTACTAGATAGGTGGTATTCTATGGAATTTGTGGGTCAGGTGAATGATGTAGATGAAGCATGGTTTTGTGGTCCAACCACACTGTTCTTGAATAATTTTATCTAGCTTTGTGATGCAAATGTGTTCATCTTTCTATACACATATAACACATACAACACAACGGTAGCTTACGTTTCGACAGTTTCCCCTTCTTCAGAGCCTGGAAGAGTACGCCAATATGTAGCTTACTAGGTCAATCGCTTCAACAGCACAAACAGAAAGATGAAAATCTGAACAGTAATTACACGATCACCTCCTCGAAATCCGTTTTTTACCTGCCTTCCACCGAGGAAGAACAACCCATAATCTAATGCCCAGGTTAACAGAAAGTCGATCTCGGGGACTGTTCATCTTTCTAGTTGAAAGATTAGTGTTATTAAAAGCATTATGAGAAGGAGCAGGCGAGGAACTTTTGAACAGTATGAACGTAAAACGAAACAGAGAGCCTTTTTTCTTTAACCGGCAAGAAGAATTCTAATTCTCATTCTTCGTATTTTTTGGTCTATTACTATTTCCTAGTGTTCTCAATTCCCAGTTCTTATGAATCGCGTCTACACTTTTAGCAAGTTTTTTTTCAGTTGGGATATCGCTAAGCTTATCTGTGCGTGCTACGGACCAAGCAAATCCACCACATCATGCCACTGCCGAAGTGAGCTTTTGATATGTTTAACTGTTTTAACCCATTGAAAAATAAGGGGCATATAATTTACACTGTAGCGATTTGAACAAAACAGTTAACTGTATTTCAAGTATATGATCTTATATATAATGCTGAGATATTTGCAAAATCCTTTCCGGGGTGTAGGGCACTTCATCACCACACCGTCCGGGTCCTTCGTTTTACCTGTCTCTCAGTTAGTTCTATTGATCTTTTGGCATCAGCAATAAAAGGCTAAGATTGTGATTATAACTAAGCCTCAGCTTAACTGGGTTCAATGCCGATTTGGGCTCCACAGATCAATCCCGTTGACGGGCAATTGCTGATTGACCTTAATTAACCATTTTGGTTAATTCATTCGCTTTGCCATCAAAAGTGACATGTCGCAGGCTTTATTATAATCGTCTTTTTTCGTTCTTTTCTTGTTAGGTTGTTATGTTTAGGTCATGGTCATGGTCCTACCTGGAGAAACTCCTATACCCAGGTTCAGCAACAATCATTACCTGTTTGTGATTTCTGAAGACTCAGTGGTCGGAACTGTTATTGGAAAACTGCAACAGATTGATCTAGGTTGTTCAGTTTCGTTTTTCATGTTACTTTCCTCAGCTCTGAAGTTTTCCCACCTCTAATTGGCGAAAGAATGTTTCTTAGTTACGCGCAGTAGAGTTTTAACCTACACCAAATTCTGAGCTAAATGGAAATCCAGTGTTTTTTTTTTGACATATTGATGCCTGTGCAGTTAAAACATATTACAGACGTTGCCGAAGTTCGTTTTTCCATTCCTGACCCACCTGATGATTTTCCCTTTACAATAGAAAGATCGAGTGGGAAGCTGATTGTACGACAGGCACTGGATAGAGAGAAGAGAGATGTGAGATTGTTTTTATTTTCTACCCATTTGTTCCTTTGAAGGTATTTTACTTTTAAGGTTTGGCGATTCACAGCACGTGTAGATGCTGCTGGTGGAGCTCATTCAATGACTACTGTAACCGTACGCTTGTCAGACGTTAACGACAATGCCCCGATGTTTTTGGGTGCTTACGATCGAATGTCGATTACCGAGGATGCACCAGTTGGAACAAGCATAGCCGTCTTCTCTGCGACCGATTTGGATCGTTCACCAGGAGGAATGATTAGTTTCACTCTTACAGAGGTAAAACCTGATGACTGAAATGTTTCATTGTTTTCAATTCCCTCCTAACGGTTTGCCGCCTCATCGTGGTTGGGAGGTGTTCCTAGATGTCGGGCTGCGATGTACAACGGGGATTTATCCCCCTTCAAGGTCTCCCAAGCTGAGGAGTGCGGTATTTCCATCAGGAAGCCTGGCTAGGATTAAGCCAATCGATATGATCGATGGCAGTCTTGGTATCATACTAGTTGCATGGTGGTGAATCTTCCTCTGATCCACAAGGGTGGCGACTGTCTGTGATGATGGCAGCTTGGAGCAGATTTTGACCATGCTGTCCTCGGGGCTTCAGAGAAGCACAATTGCTAAACAAAGAAATCTTCGGAGGTTGGAAATTATGCTGGAGGCCGCACAACCAGTTAAGACGGGTCGTCCGAGTATCCAAGTGTTTTCTATTCCAATACAGTTGAGTTGTTTTCTGAGAGCTGTAACATTAGTTTTTTGTTGTCTAGGGATCACAAGGTGGTAGTGCGTTCAAAGTCGATGCCGAATCTGGATGGTTAGTTGTCGACTCTCCACTGGATCGAGAACGTCAATCATTACATGAACTCGTAGTGCGTGCAACTGATGAAGGAGGAATGTTTACGGATCATAAGTTCAAAGTTGAGGTAACTAACGTCCTGATATTGTCATATCATTGAAGATTGCAAGGAGTTTACCTTACATGGCAAGGTTTCGTTGAGCACTTGGAAGTTTCTGCGCTGTATCAGAGCTGTCAGTTCCATTGTCAGCTATCATAGTTAGTCCCATGTACCAACTTCTTTAGGTAACTGATGTTAATGACGAACCTCCTCGTTTCGACGAGAATTTCTACATTGTCAGTGTTGATGGCAATCATTTGAGTGTTAATCAGATCATCGCTAGGGTTGTCGTGACGGTGAGTAAAGAGTAGTTTGGATATTCTGTTAACCAACGCCATCTAAATCTATTTAGGAAAAATCCGATTAAAAAAGTTTTCACATTTAGGACAAAGATTTACCGCCGTTCAATAACATTCGCTTGTTCATTAGTAGAGGAAATGATGACGGTCTTTTCAAAATTGACGACTCTGGCAAGGTTTCAATTGCTCGATTGAACCATGTGAGAGAGATCTACAATCTGACGCTGCTGGCCTTCGACGGAACTCATGCGACAAATGCGATAATGATGGTAAGATCGTTTAGGCTATATAAACAACCGTTAGTAAAATATTTTAGAAATTCACGTAGCGTTATTGAGGTTGAGGATTGGAACCTTCCCATATTTACACAAATTTTGGATTTATATTAGGCAGCACAGGTTATGTGCTAAAGGAAAACAGTGATTGAAAAGTAAAGCTTGACATTACGCCTAATTTTGGTAGATAACCAGAATAAAATTAAGTGTAAGAGTGAATAATGTTTTAGAATGGTAAGGATTTCTCTAGTGGTTTTTTAGGTGACTCTGACTTCTAGTACTTCGTCGGCATTTGAGTGCCATCCGGATAACGTGATAACAGTAAGAGTTCCTGAAGACGTTTTGCAAGGCAGTGAGATTTATCACGAGGAATCCAGCGTTAGTCTCGCTGGTGCTCGATATCTGCTAATTTCATCAGATCCGTTGTTACCGTTTACTGTTAACCAGGATACGGGATCTATTTCCGCAAAAGCTCCTCTTGATGCTGAGACGAGGAAGAAGGTTAGCGTACTTTTTGGTGGTCCATTGCTAATAATTACACTTATTCATTGGAAACGGAAATAATTGAATCAAAAAGTTCTGACGAAATGTTTATGGGAGTTAGTAATAGTGAGATGTTATCATTTAAATTGTCGTAATCGTAGAAGTACAAACGAATGAGTTACTAGCTTTTATGTTGACCTGTTGATCTGTTGCCTTAGCGAAACTCTCATCCAGGATATTATTTTTAGCACACTTTCGTTCGCCAACGGGAACTGAAGGATGCTATTTCACCTTGTAATGAACCGGTAGAAGTACAAGTACTGGACGTCAACGATGAGTCGCCAGTTTTCGTACGAGACGAGTTTGTCGTTTCTATACGTGAAAACGAGCCAGCAAGTTACAATGAAAGATATTTCCTGACAAGAGTCCATGCTGTCGACAAGGTTTGTTTCTCCATAATTCGCTCTCGTGTTTATCATTGAAACTGACTCCTGTTCTATGCATAAAAATTAGGAATCGTTCAAGTTAGCTAGGTTGTTCCTTTTTCTACAAAATTAATGAATAGCTTGGAATTCGCGGTTGTTGTAAAAGTGTAACAAAGTGCAATAATAATGAAATTAGATCTCAAAACGTGTAGGGTGCGTGTACAGTAGTGGCGCGAGTCACCTTGCAGTATACAGAGGATCGATGCCCCAGGCGCACCAAGCCTTCCATCCCTTCGGGGTCAGAAAATTGGTGCAAGATTTGTCTGAGAAGATGGCAGCACTGACTCAATGTATTGATGGGCTACCGCGAGCCATTGTAAAGGCCAGATGATCCTTAATGAAGTTGGATGCATGGTGCATCTCTCAGGGATTGATCAACGCCGAGAGCTTCATTCTTTCATTCCTTTTTATTTCAAAACGTCATCCTTTCGTTGTTATGCAGTTCTCGATTTTTATAAAAAAATGCGTTAGAATGTCAGTATTCGAAATTTTTTTTAGGATTCTGGCACTTTTGGACGTGTGAAGTACAGCTTTGTATCTGGTCACGATGCGTTCGTCATTGACAGTGAGACAGGTGCTATCACAGTAAATCGACCGCTGGATCGAGAGAAAAACCAGGAGTATTTGCTTCGAGTACTAGCACAAGATTCCGACCCCATTAAGCCAAGGAGTAGTGAGGGTAAAAGTTGTCTCGTTTATTTCAGTGGTGTCTTTAAAGTCAGTTGGACTGGTGGTGTTATTTTCTTTTAATTCCATATTATCATCCGTTGCTTCAGCGGTAGTGTGTATCACAGTTGTTGATCAAAACGACAATCCTCCTGTATTCGAGAAGAGCGAGTACATTCTACAGGTTCATTGTATTTTCTTTTATGCATTGCTCTCTAATACATCCTTTTTTCTTGCACTGCAGCATCCCTTTATGAGGTCTTACTTCTTTCTCTTCTCCTTTCTTAGTTCAGCCAGAATTTAATCAAGAAATGTTTTCTGAATAACGGAAATTGTGGGAAAGGCTAAGCTTGCAGGTTATGCCTGCAAGTAGAGTTGTTAATTCTCCATATAGACTACTTATGTACCGGATTTTGTTTTTAAGGTGATGGAATCGGAATCTGTTGGATATACGTTGATGACGTTGCGAGCTATAGGAGGTGATGATGGGGAGACGGTAAGCTACATGTTGAGAGAGAATGGAAGCCACAATGCTTATGTTGAGCTGGATAAAAGAAATGGTTTGTAATGTAATTGTAATGAATTGTGAAGTTATAACAGTTGGATAACATACTATCTAGGAGTTCTCAAACTGGCCAAAGGGTTAGATTTTGAAAAGGAGCAATTGCTATCGCTTACGATCATTGCCACGGATTCCGGTGACCCACCATTATCAACGGAAACTACTGTCACGATACAGGTTAGTTTTGTTCTTGTCCGCAGTTATTTTTAAAATAATCTGAACCTAAGAGTGGAAGCTGAGGAACAGAACGAAAAGATTCGATATAAAAATGCTGTGAAGCATCCATAATACTTGTCTCTAACTTTAATCTATAGGAAATATTTTTCCGCCAAAAGTTCATCGTTGGAAGGCTTATTCAGGTATTGGATGAAAATGACAACATTCCCATTTTCGCAAAAGAGAGCTATAAGGCGGCTGTAGATGAAAATTCTCCTAACGGTACGAAAGTATTAAAGGTAATAATTTATATTTATTTGATAATTTTTCAACAGGAGCTTTTTCGAAGAAATGTGTTCGTGTTCTCTTTGCTGCAGTTTTACTGCTGTATAAGTTAACGTTGTGTGAATGTAACCACAACGGTGCTAAGATAACCTCAATGATGCTGAGATATTTGCAAAATTCCGGACCGCAGGTGTCTGTGGTGGGGAACGAACGCGCTATTGCACCTTCAGGGGCTAATGCCTTCACCACCACATCATGCGGGTCCTTCGTTTCGCCTGTCTTTCAGCTAGTTCTATCGATCAACGCCATCAGCAATCACCCTTCAACGGAACTGATCTAGAGAGCCAAAATCGGCAAGAAACCCAGTTAAGCTGAGGCTGTAGTCGAAGAGTCGAAGATCGGTGCTAAGATATTTGCACAAGTGTAATCCTGGAAACCTCGGAAAGGGAAGTCGTGGTTCTTTCGAGCCCGGAGTCCAAGTTTTGCTCATATCTCAACATCCTTGTGGTTGTATTTCATATCATACCGTGACGTGAAAAATTATAGTAGGCAGCAAGTGGAGGTTTAACGTTGCGTAGATTTGTTTATCGAAAAACACGCCCTCTCCTTTTGGTCACTCTTGATTGCCTGCTTAATTGTTGGCCAGTATTGTGAGGTTTCAAATGCTGTTTTCGAGGTTTTCTGTTGTAAATGTTTCTAAAGTTGCATGTTTCCTAGGTGAAAGCTGTTGATGCGGACAGTGAGCATTATGGTCGTGTCGCATATTCCATAAAAGCCGATTCCGGTCCATTTCATATTGATGACCAAGGATGGATTACGGTAGTTGGCCTTCTGGACCGAGAATTAGTATGTGTTTAGAGTTAGATCTAAAAGATTTGTTCTAGAAATTGTTTAGTACATAACTTGGTCGGATTCAAGTAACAAACGCAACTGGGTGAACTTCTGCATTGTTGTTTCTTTTCGGTAGTTATGTGCTTATGGGTGTAAAAAGGGTTCAAAATGGTTCAACATACCATTTTCAGAAGTCCTATCATCGTCTTCAAGTTGAAGCGCATGATGGTGGTGAACCGGCTCAAAGATCTGTGGTCACTGTTGTGATTGATGTGAACGACTTAAATGACAATGCACCGGTGTTTGTCGATTGTAATATGACTGCAGTAGTTCAGGTACGACACAGTAACGGATCTTCCAATATTTCCGAGAACTGAAGAATGGGTCTCTTGGATGTAAAGTAGCGTTCTTAGAGTAGTTCTGAACTTCTACAGTATTTTATCTGAGATGCGTCGAGTAGTCCTACATCTATCATTTCTTTGCCTTAAAAAACCTGCTGTAGTATAGTTTTAAGCATAAGTGAATCTCACTTCTCTCTTACTCATAGAGTGTAATCTTATTTAGGAAAAGATCTGCGATATTTTTGAAAACATGGAAGTCTTCAGGCTTTGCATAGTAGGTCTACAATGTCAAATACATAGTGCACGATCTTTTGAGATGTTTTTTCTTCATTCATACTTTTCAAACCGTGCAAGTACGAGTGTAAATTTGTGCAACGCTAATTGTTATGACCATATCCTCTGTGTGTGGTGAACCGAGAGTGTTTCAGGAGGGTGTGATGCCTGGTCATATTATTCTTACTCTGTCCATTACTGATGCAGATGGTCCTTCTTTTGGTGCACCATTTCGAGTAGAAGTTCATGGAGAAGGATCAAAGGCCTTCACTGTTGACGAACAATACAACCTGGTCACAGTGACACGATTTGATCACTCGAAAAGAGATCGGTTTCTGCTCACGGTAAACTAATTAAAGGACCCTAGTTCTCGTTCTTGTCATCAAGTTTTTTAAATTGAGTCCTTGGAAAAATCATTGCAGCGTGGAGAATGTTGCTTTGAAGAAGTTGATCAGTTTAATCAATGAAGGGCTTTAACTATTCACTTTTTAGTTTTCTTTCAATCTTTCTACTTACGAGAACTAAATATAAGTCTTCTTTCCAGTTAATCGCTTATGACCGTGGTAATCGCTCGACAGATTGTCCAATAACAATATTTGTACGTGAAGAAAGTCGACATCCTCCACGGATTTCACCGCTTCGGATTCACCTTAACACACTTATGGGAGAGTTCAGAGGTGGAATCATAGGGACCATTATCGCTGAGGACGAGGTATGTTTTGGCTTTGCTCTGAGTTTCTCTGATTACTTATGTTCATCTGTGCATTGTAGTGGGAGCGCTCTGTTGAACTATAAAGTAATCTAAAATGTTGGAATATTTGGAATGTATTTCTATCTATTGATATCTTTATTTATGCCATCATTATGAATATAAACATTCGTTAACCTAGGACGCTGGTGATATGTTACGGTTTTCTTTGGTAGATGGAAGCATACTTGGTCCGCTACCCACTGAATCGCATCCACGACCTCATGTCACCAAACCACATTTCTTTCGAGTTAATACAAAAACAGGCGAGGTACGGTGTTTGGCTGAAGTGTATATATCGATGGGGTAAAGTGTATGAGTATTAGATCTGGAGCGATCATGAGATTCCTGGTGGACTACATGCGTTCAACGTGTCTGTCACTGATGGGAAGTTTTCCACTGTCAGCTATGTGGAAGTGGAGGTAGTGAATCTGCATATATTTAACAAGATCTGCAATTTGAAATGTGGTTACGATGTAATTAACATCAACGCCGACAGTTGCAAATATTTTCCATATAAGTTTTTTTCTTTTTTTCCGGAGGAGGGCATGTGACACTGTGGTCGGGTGTGCCTTGCAGTACCTACATGGAATCGACCTCACGCCCGTGGCTCACCAAGCCTTTTATCCCTCCAGGGTCGGTATAGTGGTACCAGACTTGTCTGGGAGGATGGCACCACTGGCTCATACACCGGTAGGCCACCGCGAGTCATTGCAAAAGCCAAATAAGCATTCATTCACCTCTAACGATGCGCTATGAGGTCGAATGCATGGGGCATCCCTCAGGGATTGATCAAAACGGAGAGCTTTATCCTTCACTTTTTCAATTCGGTTTTTCAACGGCTTCCTTTCAACAAACTTGTCTTTTTGATTTTACGAATAGAAGTTGGAATCAATACGGAAGATGACTCAATGTTGAATGGAAGTTACAAGTTTTTTTTAGGTTATGACGCTTGAACAGGATGCTGTTGATCACGCTGTCTCTTTACGTATAAAAGACATGACAGCTCTGGAGTTCTTCTCAACACACGCCACCACTTTTCGAGAAATCTTCGCACGGCATTTAAATGTCGATCCAAGGAATATTCAGCTGTTAAGTGTACAGGAAACGCAAGGTTGTATACTTTTGATTCATTCCTAAAATTTCTATGAATTTAATACTACTTTTAGTACGACCTCCTCGTGCGTTGGTACCGGAATCAAAAGCTACTGATGTTGACATTCTATTCACCGTATCACGAGGAGGGGGTCGTGGAATGCTGAAGCCAGATCACGTGTACACAAGACTTAAGCATGACTTCCAGAGTATTGCAGATCAGAGCGGAAAAATGGTGAGTTAATGCTTTTCTTTTATTCTGTACTGAACATTCTACATTACCACACTTTGTATGAAAATCGTGTTTCTTAGATAAATACTCAGTGTGAATATTTTGGGTTGTAAACCAAAACTGTAAATTTTGTAAATATTAATTTTAAAAAAGTTGTAAAGTCTGGGCTAATTTCAGAAGTACCAGCTTATTACTGAAATGTGCACTCCTGGAGTTTGTCAGAGGGGTGAGTGTCGTGAGCGAGTTTATCTTGACGATCAGCAGCAGACAGTAATTTCGTCTGGCAGCTTTTCGTTCGTTGCTCCTCGCCACAATCGTCTGGCAGAGTGTATCTGTCCCGAAGGGTAAGCTTATAGACGTTAGATATATTCGTTCTTCTTTGCTTCGTTTTCTTATTGTCCATTTTCAACTCGTTACTCTCCTCGTGGTTTTTTCTACTGTTAAACTTCTGTTTAGTTATGGGGGATCCAGCTGTGAATTGGAAGTGAACGCCTGTGCTCGTTCTCCATGTCATCCGTGGGAGATGTGTGTTCCATCAGATGGTGCCAGATTTGAATGTATTTGTCCACCCGGCTCTTCGGGCAACCGTTGTTCCGAGGCATCCTGTTCAAATGAAGGACGATGTTTGGAAGGTTTAGGTTTAAAACAGGAATAGACTTTGTAAAATGGAAAGTTAGAAACGTTTTTGTTGTAGAAGCCGAGTTATCGGTAGGTGGTAATGGCTACTTTGAAATGTCGATAGCGCATGAAATGGAAACACGATTGGAATTAGAAGTGGAGTTAAAGACAACAACATTCAAAGGTGTTATATTGCATGCCGACGGACCGAGCGATTACCACACCCTTGAGGTTTCTGAAAATTATTTCACAAGTCTTTACCCTACAATTCAACTTATTGTTCTCCAGTTAATCACTTGCATTGTCGTAAAAGTTAAATTCAGCTTGTCGACGGCCGAGTTATGTACCGTTGGGACGCAGGTTCTGGAGAGGCGAGTGTGTCCACTGTTAACTCAATCGCTGACGCCCAGTGGCATCGTGTTTCTGTGAGCCGTCGTGGTCGAAGAACGAGGCTACAACTCGACGGAACTGACATGAAGGAAGGGTGGAGTCCTACTGGTGAGTCATTGACGGTGACATCGTTTTTCGTTTTTTTCATCTTCTCCATTTTGTTAAATTTAACAATCATTAGGAATGAGTTATCGTTCTTCATTGTTGAGAGTAGAAGAGTTGTTTTTATAAGTCGAATTAATTTAGTGGATTCCCTATGGTGCTGGTTTTTGTAAAGCTAGTAATTATTTTCCAACGTGTAAAGGAAGCAGAGATCTGTGAATTCTTCTGTCAGTTTTTTATTTCGATTAATAACTCTCAATAATGCTTATTTGCGTCGAAATACCAATTTTTAGCCTAGGTATGGGTCATATATGGGTCATACGATCAAGAATTTGTTAAATGCATAGGTCGGCCAACATCATGTTGGTTCCACACACACATCACACAAGAGGTTGTTGGTTCCTCCTCAATTCTAGAACCAGCGAGACCTTCCACCTCTCTACTCTCGATCACTTTGAGGACTAGATGACTGATTTGTAGACGAGTTGATTATTGATTTATTTATTTATTGATTGTCCTTCGTAAATTTATTGAATTGATTGAATTAATAGGCCAAATTCATACTCACTTTTCACTATTTATGAGCGAAAGATAAGAATTTACTACTAATTTTTACGAGGTTATTCTTCAAAGAGCGAAACTTTTATCCTTATATATGAAAGACCGGGTTTCCTATGCCGAGTACTAAAGATATTGTGATTATAGGAAGTGATGTTATCAACCTGTACTCTGCGAGTCATCGTTTGTTTTTTGGAGCCCATGTTGATCGAAGAAACTTATCTTCAGTTTCGATTACGAACGCGATCGTTGCCTGTTTCCGTTCGATTTCTATTGATCGCAGGTACTAACATTATTTTGTCTCGCTTTCAGAGCGGCTAGTATTTTTTGGATAACTTGCAAGGTCAGAACTTGAGCGTCTAGAGGGGCATTCCAGTTCCTTCGACACGCTTCGCTGTTTTCTCCTTTGCTTGGTTTTACTCGGCTACTTGAGTAGTAGCTACAATGATATGCTTTCCTTTTCATGTCTAAAGAAAAGATCGTTTATAGTAACTATGAATTCTTATTTTCTGTTCTGCTTCTTCCAGAAGTGTTGCAAAAACCCGACAAGGGCTTCGACTGTACTCGGCAACTACCGGCTGCCGAGCAATGGCGGCCACTCCGTGTTCAGAAGCTCCTTGTGGTAATGGAGGGACATGCCATGTTATTGATAGGACTTATAGGTAAGTTTGAAAAAGAGTGTTAATGAGCGCTCGTGACTTTTTATTAAAAAATGTTTTTACCATAAAATTTTTACAATTAAGTTTGATTTCCCGTTGATACTTTTTTTTTGTTGAGCAAACGCGAGGTGTTATTGTTCTTTATTCACGAATAAGCCGAAGTTTCGACGGATTTCGCCTTCCTCAGAGCCTGCAAGGGTTAAGTTGACAGCAATCTATTCGGCCAAACACTTCCATAACCAAACAAAGAAAGCGCTAAACCAAGATTTCATTTTTTTCCAAGAGCTCATGCAATCACCGTCTCTACCACTGGGGCAAATTATGCAATTTTGAGTTGCACATAAACGGTCATATAGGCGGTAACGAACTAGCTGGCGCCTAAGATTACTCGGTGGTATTTCAACTACGTTTACGGAATTCTCTAAACCCGCCGTTCTTAAGCAGCGTTTTATAGCTGTACTTACATCATTTGAGATGAAGGGTAGGGTAAACGGGACCCTTCTATTGCTAGAGTTGCCGTTTGGAAGCCTAGGATTTCCTCTACATCTATCCTGAGCTACAGTTTCGTAGCCATTAGAAATGGATATTTGCCGCGCCAAGTTCCGGGACTCCTCTCTCTGCTCTCTCCCCGTGCACACGTTGGTTGCTGTTCGTTATTATTATGTTCGTTATTCGTGCGTTACTATGCAAAAATTGGATTCTCTAGGATCTGAACACGGACGATCACAGCATAATAATATCAATAATTTTCTAATTTTAAAATGAAATGAATTCCAGGTGTTCGTGTCCAGCTCGCTACACCGGTGCAAATTGTGAAATTGACTCCGATCCATGCGGTTCTCGCCCATGCCCACTTGGTATACAATGCATTCCATTCTACAACGAATATCTCTGCAAATGTCCGAACGGTTTTACTGGAAAGCGATGCGAAATTAGAGGATACGGTAAGTCTTTGACTGCTTGCCTTGTTCTAAACTCGAAATCAAGAGTAACGGTATGCTTTTTGTCCGAGACCACACATTACTTCATCGTTCCGAGGTTACCTATCAGTTGAGAGCATCTACTTAAAGCGTTTTTGTTTTCTTCGCATTCTGTTTGTTCAGAAGCCATTTCGGTACATTTCAGGTATGGAAGATGCATGTGCAACCGAGCCATGTGGTCTGCATGGTACATGTATTCCAATTCCTCGTCAAAACACGTATAATCTCGGATATATTTGCAATTGCACTCATGGGTTCTCTGGGAAGACATGTGATGGTACGATTTGAGCTCAACTTTGTTTTTAATACTTCAATTTTCAGAGGTTTCCGAGTTTATTGGTTTAATTTCGTCATTGTAATTAACCCATAAAGCCATGTGTGGACACTATAACGTCCATATTGGGTTTAGTGGACTCCAGGGTTTTTTTTTTACCGCATCGTCTATGCTCATTCTATAGGCAATCGAAAGCAGGCCAAAATATTACGACTAAGGCCAGAATACCATATTCTTTACACTTAATAAATTACAAAGAACACCCTGTTGGGCAAGTTCGTTTTGCGGCGATACTTTGTAAAATATGCCAATTCTAAAATTACATGTATGTGATAAAATAGGCCATCGAGAGAACCTTCCACTTGTTATCTGGTAACAAATATATATTTGACGTCATCAAAATTAAGAATAGTGTCTACAAAACTTGGACCTGAATAAAGCAGTTGGTCGCAGATATGATTTATCGCGTTACATGTTCTGAAAGCAATTCTCACTCCTCACTCCTTACTCATAATTTTCCACCGATGCTTTAAAAACAGTGCTCAAAACCACTTACATAGTCATCTAAAACGACACTTTATCGACTATCTCCTCCAGCTAGATTGTGAGGAGGGGTTGGGCTGAACGAGATCGAATCATGCACATACCATTGTTATAGCAAGAAACAAGCCTCATGGTTCAGTCATCCACTTTATGTGTCACCTGAGTGGAAAATAGTGAGATATTTACTAATTCGCTGTAGTACTCGTCCTGGAAGGATTTGAGTTATTTTCTTCATTTCTTTCATTATATGGCAAACAAAGTTCGTTTGCTGCCAGACTGGCTTTGAGCACATAGAGTATTCTATCCTTCGTGATAGCTTGAATCGTAACGTAGTTTCCCCTTGAATCACGAGGTGGCACTGCCACAGCGGTCTCAGATGATCATCACAGTTACTAGCCGGCTCCTCCCAATTGGTTTTCCTCCAGAAAAATCTGTGGAGACATTTAACTCAACAGCTACCATTTGCATTGTCTTACTCACTGGAACACGGGAAAAGAATAAGTGGAAGTATAGTACAATAAGAAGAGTATAAGAGCATTTATTTCACAAACTACAACGTAAACACATAATCGCTTCTCATATGAAACCAACAATGGACAATGAACAATCCAAAAACGACAGTAACTTCATAGTATTTAACTTTTATTTACTGCTTATTGTTTTTTCATGGAAAGGTATTACGTAAAGTGTAACCACAATTATGCTCAGATATAAGCAGAACTGGGAATCCTACGCTAGCTTCAAACTCGCTATTAGCCTTTCCGGGAGCTCAAGTGTCACGCATTGCACCACCAAAACCCTTGATTTGCCTTTCTTTTAGCCAGTTTCGTTTTGCTGGAACGGTTAATCTTATTGGGTTGCGGTTTTGTGCGGTTATAATAATCCACAATACTTTATGATTCACCTCAAAAGGCACCACTAACGATCACATAAGTCCGTATCAAGACTATTTATTTTATCGAAATATCTAGTCCACATGACAGCTCTTCTTCAATACAAGAACAAAGATGTTTTATTTGCTGTGACTAAAAGAACGAAAATTCCAAGTACTTGACATTAGATGCGGCCATGAAGAAGGCCGTTAGGTTAGTTGTATGCACCAAAGTCAAAGTCAAGCACTTTACTTACTTGCTGAAGGTGCGTTGGTTCAATTACATTTTCTCCCACACAGGGTTTTCCTTGTGGTGCTCTTCTTACTAAACTGATAACTTCCTCACCGTAGACTTTCGACATTGCCTCGTCCGAGGAATGTTTATACGGTGTGTTGTCTTTGAAAACGTAGTCTTTCGATTTTTATTTTCTTCCACAACCTTCCAGTGGTGTTGCTGGAAAACGAAAGATTTCACTTACAACCTATAATTTGGAATTTGCAATCCTTGCAATCCATAGCTTTCACTTTTTTTAGCTTCTTGTGGTTATTTCAGAACATTCTATGAGATTGTTCGAATGACGGACTTTCGACTAAACTTGGCATTAATTAACCTTATTTAAAATGTATGTTGACAAACTCATGTCAGGTCGTGAGATAATCTATGAAATACTTTTTGTATTGACTACATCTAGCATTGGAATTTTGCATGGTGATGTTTTGAAAATTCAATGTTTTTCATCAATAAGCAGACACGAGGTTGTTAATATAGAATTTATTAGAACACAATTGCTGACGTTTCGGCGGTTTCGCCTTCTTCAGAGCCTGGAAAGGTCAAATTGAGATGCGATCTACTCAGCCAAACACTTTCATAACCCTAGCAGATAAAACTTGATAAATCGATTTGTGTTCGCATAAGAAACAGCTTCATTCAAACACCTACCGTTTATTTGTCGTAAGTATTTAAGTTAGTTGGTGGATAGCCGCCGCACAGAGTAATACATGGTCGATAACTGGGTCCATGTCAGATCATTGGATCAGCCTGAGGTATGGCGCTAGGTCACGCGTGATGACAAGACACTCCTCCTTGCGGTTCATTTTTGAATTTTT